ATCCCCATCATCTCACCAACCAAAACCCCCATAGATGCAAGAGCAAGACACCCCCTACTTCCCCATGCCCTACCCCTGTATCTTCGGCGCCGACGTATCCAGCACCATCATCCAACATCCAACTCGGCACCGTAACGCGTTTCCGCATCGGCCTACGCGTCCTCGGACAATGCGATGCCATCCTCTCTCGCATTTCCCAAAATGCCGCATTCCAACGCTACGCCACCTGTCGCGAGCTTTTCGTGTCCGTCGTCCCAGACCATATTCTATTCCACTATCCAGTGCTGCGGTTCTTCCACTCGCTACTTCGACTGCTACAACTGGGCTTTTCAAGGTTCTTAGATTGCCGCTTCCGATGCTTGGGCCGGAGCACACTAGAAAGACGATTTTGATCTGGGGTGGGAGTTCGAGTTGTGGGGCCGCGGCTGTGCAGTATGTGTATTTGTCTTTCTAATACCTAGGTTGTATATTGATATTACATCATTAAGATTAGCAGTGGCAGCAGGCTATACCGTAGCGACGACCGCCGGATCTCCCAACCACCACTTTGTGAAAAGCATTGGCGCCACCCATATTTTCGACCACAAATCACTCACCGTCATCCACGATATCCTAGTAGTCCTTCAAACGGGAAATAGGGTATTCGACTGTATCGGAGAAGCTTCTACCCAAAAAGCCTGCGCCGAAATTGCGCACAAAGTTGGCTCCGGCAAGTTTGCTTGCTTGTTACCAGCTTTTCCCAATGATTATGGTGTTGAATCTGTATTTGGTATGTTTGATCATGTATACTTGTACACTTTATTTCATTCCATGCTCTTTTCTTTGACTAATGCTATAAAATAGTAAATGGTTTGGATGTGGGACTTGTGGATCTTGATATTGGGGATGCGGTTTGGCGGAAATATGTACCAGAGGCGTTGGCGGTAGAGAAGTATTTGGCGAAGCCAGACCCGGAAGTTCTGGAAGGTGGGTTGGAAAGGGTTCAGGATGGGATTGATATCCTTCGAAAAGGGGTTTCTGCGAAAAAGATCATGATTGAGTTTTCGAAGAAGGCATGATGTTTTGGTTCCGGGTTCTGAAAATATTTACGCCCACTTTAAAGGGGCCTATCGGGTTGCCTGTCACTAAAGGCATTAACTGTTGTATATATATTTGGAACAACCGTTTCGAATAGATTCAATTAATTGCTTTTTGATATTGAGCCTTCAAAATTCTAAATCATAACTAAATTAAAGACGTCATCTTTGACATCATGTACTCTATTTAACTCCAAAAATAATAAACATAATCACATTTCCTTCTCATGAACATCCACTCCTGCCTTCTTTTCCACATCTTTCTCTTGATCCACAACCACCTCTTTCTTCTCTTCATAATCCAAGAAGAGATTATCGGCGAAGGGAAACAAAGTCTTCCTTCTCGGGGCCGGCTTCATGTGTGCCATTCTCCAAATATTACCCGTAACATTTCTACCCAAAGTTTCCACAACAGGTGTAACAATTGGCAACGATAAAAACAAAGTCGAGTAGCAGACAATAGCCGTGATCAAGGCAACCGCCCAATATGGAAGCGCAGTTTCAGTAGCTAAGCGCACACATACCAAACTACCAAGCGACCACCAAATCAAACCATGAATAAGATAGATGGTGAAGATATGAGGGAAGAGCATTAACCAAACTTTCATGGACAGGAAGCATTGAACAAAGTAACAATTTTCGATGACGAATTGAAGACCGACAGCGAAAAGAATTCCGTTGAAACGAGGGTTGAAATAGTCTGGGTAGCCAGCATTGTCTGTTTGTGCAATTGGTAGACCAGTCTCGGGATCTGGATGGATACCACGTTCTGTGATGGGTAAGGAGAATCCAGTCCAAGCGGTGATTAAATCGTTTGATAGACCGTATATAGCCAGCATGAAGCCGAAAGTGATACCCGTCCAGAGGACAAAAGCGTGTTCCTTGAGCCACTTCTTGTATTTGAAAGTCACATCCATATCTGTGTAGAAGACTCCAAACCAGAAGAAGGTGCCCCAAGACTGAGCGTACCAATGGTTCACAATGCAGAAGGCATAAAATAACAGGCGTTTCCAAGGAGTTTTGATCTCTTTGACCACGACGCATCCCAAAAGTGTGATCCAAGAACCTTCAATCTGGACAGGAATGGTCCAAAGAACACCTGTACAATAGTTATAGGTGATTTGTGGAGCTGCATTGGGAAGCAGATACACGAGTTCGAGAACTTCAGAGATGTAATGCGAGAAATCTGTGTATTCCACAGCATAGGGCCATGTTGTCCAACTGATACTGGGAAGATATTGTAACCAAGTGAGTGCTCCCACATCAATCAGAAAGTACTCGAGCATAGCACAAGCCGCAATTGGGATCATGACACGGAATGTTCTTCCAGTAGCTTTCTCGGCGATACTTGACAGATCTCCAGTCCGTAGGTACCGACTGATGAGGAAACGAGTGGACGTAATAAAGAACAGCCCAAGGAGAATTTGATTGAGGAGATATGATCCAGCGGTCTTTCGGAATGTGATCTCATAGTGGTAGTGCTCAAGAGCGCCATTCATACCCATCGCTGGTGAAAATGTGAAGACGAAATGAATTAAAGTTACAAGTAATGTGGCGATCGAAATAAGACCTGCCAAATATTCGATACGCTTGGTGGGTGGTGGACGAGCATTGATAGGTGTAGCGGGGAAGGCAATTGGAGCCGGGACTTCTGAATCGGCTTGATTAGGAGGCATTGACCGAGCAGTCTCCATTTCAGTACCTTGAGTGGTACCAGGCATTGGCCAGCCTTTCTGCTCTGATATTTCTGCTGGATTGCTGTAGATGAAAGAATTCTTTGGGGTCCCCTCATCTGGAATTGGAAGACCATCCTTACCGAAGTAAGCGGAATTTTGTGGTGTAACAGCTCTCGAATCATTTGGGGTATTATTGAAGCTGTAGAGGCGATGTTCTGAAGCTGAGGGTGAAGTAGGATCGTTCAACGTGAACCCACTCATGTTTGAAGTGGAGTGTTGTCGAGATGCTGCAGAGAAGCTATTGTTCGGCATATGTTTGTTTTCTTGATTGATCAAGTCTTTGAGGGTAAGTGATGAAGAAACAGGGGTGAAGCCAACTTTTGTAATTTCAAGGTCATCTTTGGGATTTTTAAGGTCCATGGATGACGCTCTTGTCGATGTCATTCCAGACGATAGAAGTAGTTTGGAATTGGAAATTTGAGGTGGCAGACGGTAACAGCTATGAACATTTGGTTCCTTTGGTTCCTTTGAGGCCTTGGTAGGCCATCTTTGGAAAGTAACATTGCAAAGCAAGAATACAGTGAGAGCAACAGAACATGAGAGGCAGATGTAAGCAAAAGTTCGGATTGGGCTTTCATGGTGTGTGGCCTTCCATTTTACGAGAGATTCCAAGCCGAACTCGGTAAAGCCGCGCAATGATGTATCGTCCATCAAGCATGCAGCTGTAACAGCGCATCTGGTGTCAAATTCTTTGTGTTGCTCCTCGGACATGGTCGATGAGTTAAAAAATGACCGGGTGAACCCAAGATTGGCTGTAGTGTCCTTTGTGGGTGGCCCAGCCGTAAAATATGAATCTCCGTTTGACCATAGCTTGAAGAGCAGCGGTGACGGGGTGATCGGATAGCTTAGGCTGTTTGTATCTTTAGCAGAGATGGAGCGAGCTAGTACGTTGCCGATATAGAACTGCACACTGTCTTTTGTCCAATCCATGCGGACTTCTGTCAAATCCCAAGGATTGATCTCCGGGCTGTAAGAAACATTGTTGGCTAATGTGCTGAAATTGAGTCCCAATATACGGTCGGGAAACTCCTCTGCTATCAATGTATTGATCCAAGCATCTGTGGGCTTTTTGGTGTTCAAACTATTGATCTGAATATTTTGTGTCGCGTTATACTTGAGAAGCATCGACATACCGGTCCCTCCAGTCCATGCTTGCGCTGGGCGAATTGTTGACCTGAAAGAGCCATACTGGATATCAGATCTCCGAGTTCGAATAGCGCCACCCTTGACGAGATGTTGAGAGGTTGGTGCATTTATCGTGAACTCCAAGGAACTAGAGTTTCTAATAACTCCAGATGTTGAGTTTGTGATCTCAACATTTGATGGATCGGCACCTTGTCTGTATCGTGCATTCCAGCTCTTTTCATACTTGTTTTCGTATTCTTGGTTTTCAAAAACTTCGGAGGGGAATGTGGTCGTTTCGTTGAAGTAAACAATTAGAAAATCAGTAAACAAGTTTTCGGTCGCTGGGTCATAGTAACCACAAGAGCAGTCTGAAGTTGAATCCGCTCCGGCGTTTCTCAGTAGACCCAGGGCAAAAACAACGAAGTACAGAGAATGAAAATGCATCCTGATCAAAGGATGAAAATGAAAAACCACAAAGACAGAGGAGGATGCCGAGCTCCAGTGCTTGTCTGAAGTATATGCAAAGACTTTATCGCGCTTTTCATGTTGATGACAGGGCTGCTGATAGTGCAAATCAGCACATCTAGATGGAGACGTTTCTTCTGCAGCGATATCTCAAAGCGGCAAATCATTACATGGAACTGCCAGTATTCTTGCTACGAATTTGAGCTGATCTATGGATCAAAATTAGTCTCAAGTTTAGTGTATTAAAAATGACAGAAGGCTACAGTCCGTTGTTTTACCTTCTTTTAGTGGCCAGGGTCTGCATGTAGATCCTAAGCACGTCCTGTGCGGCACTTCAAGTCTTCAAGGCTTGCCAGATGCGTACTCATCCAAAGGTTAGATATCAGCTTAATATTATCCACAAAGACAATGCGATGAAGGGTTTTCTCTTATGGGACTCTGATTTTTCCTGGGTTTACAACTTTACACCGCTTTGGTTCGGGGGCTGCGGCATTGATCTTCTCCAGATTCGCATTGGTGCGGGAAGGAAATTCCAAATATCCACATCAACCCATGTTGGTGCGAGTGAGAGCTCTCGGTGTATGGCATCTTTTCAATTTATTTCCCCTCCCCTTTAAATTCACACTGAAATGTCTTGGGACTATTGCTCGCCTTTGATTCCAAATTCCACCGTCGCCGATTCACCGGTGGACAATCTGATATAGGATAGTTGCCGATCCGGTCCTTCTCTTTAGTTTGTACGGGTAAGTCTCATACCGGTATATGCTTGTAGAGTAATAAGCTTATGCGATACTTACTGATAAGTGATGAGCCCCAGACTCGTTCCAGCTTTCCAGCTTTCCAGGACTGTGCAGTGTGTACTAGGACTGTGCAGTGTGCAGTATACCAGTGAATACCGAGTACTTTTTCACAGATTACATCAAAGCCTCGAGGACGAAGCAACGGGCATCCCAATTATCCGAGGTTTGTTGGGGTCCTTGAGGCTTGGGGAGATGATAGTGGGTTGATAGTGGGTTGATAGTGGGTTGATAAGTGTAAAGTTACGATACGGCTGGGTGGTGGTTTGCAGATGAAAAAGTTGGAAAATAATATAAGATTACATGTACTAGATGATTAGATAACGAGTTTTCATTTCACCGCCTTAAAGGGGCAACTTTTCATTGGATGTACTCGTATTGATTACCGAATTGATGGGTAGAAGTACTAGGTAGGTAAGGAGTAGAAGTGGGCAAAGGTGGGCGGGCGGTGAGTTTAATGGGTGCGTTGTGAGAAACTCGTGGCTCCTTTTTAGCCGGTGAACCTATGTTTCTCACCCACCATCACCACCACCACCTCTACCACCTCCACCACCTTCCTCTCCTGTGCCGAACCACGCGTTATGTGTTATGTTAAGTTGCTCGTCTACAGAATCTACAGAATCTACAGATTCTACAGATTCTATAACTATGGCTTATCGGGCACTCGGTGATTGTTCTCATTCGAACAGCTCAGCAACATTGTGGAACTTGTAATCCCAACATGGGAGATCTACATTCATCCATGCCTCGCGATGCTAGATTGTAAGGTATGTTCGTAACTTTCCAACTTTCCTCATGGTTGAAAGTCCACTTCTTTAGTGTGTGTAACCGTGGGTCAGTGTTGCTTGGCATTAATCTTCTCGAAAAAGCGTGTGTTCAATAATGTCTATTCAACGCTCACACAGGCCTAGCTAGGGCCACAGTGTCCCGCTGGCTCGAGGGAAGATAGACATTGCTGAAAACCGTCAGTGGACGCTGATCTTGCTCGCTTTATGTTCTTTTCTTCCCGCCGCAATTAAATTAGTCGCTAGTACTTTCTACCACTGTTACAACACTAATTGGCCGAGCTGGCCCATCTTATCTCCTAGTCAACTGTCAATGCCGGTAAGGTTAGTGTGAAGCTGAAGCTTTGGCTGAAGATGAGATATCACACTTGTATCCTGCCATAATGTTATAATCTGTTTCTGGACGCTGCTGCATAGATACCCTCGAAGTCGCATTTTGCACAATACTGTCGCTTTTGATTTTTGCTTTTCTCTCTCAACTGTTCCCTGGCGGTGCTATTTTCCGTTCTTTCCTATAACTTTACACATTATCGGTGGTTGAATCAACTGCTTACCAATATCACTTCGACAAGATGGGAAACCATGGAGATGATATGTTCACAATTGCAGAGCTTCCCACATACAGCAGCCCTAAACCCTTCACCCTTGGGCACGATGGCTCTCCAGGCTCATCTATCAGCAGAATAAGCAAAGATGCAATCGTGAACATTCACGACGCTCGAAGCTCAGCATCGCAAAGTAGCATTGGCGAGAAGCAAAATGCATCCCGATTTTCTGTCCAAGAAGAAGCTGCGACTCTCCCGAGTCACGGCCAAAAGCCCAAAACATCTACCTCTCTCGGCATTCGCAACAATTTTGGAAGATGCTCGAATTTTATACACGAATGGACACCCTGCCTCCTTGTCAACTCATACTTCGTCTCATCTATCTTCGCGTATATGCTGTTTCCAACGAAACTCCTTGAAGTTTTCTGGTTCATTTACAATTTTACCAATTTCATCATTGCTGCGTCTACGGCTTTGGAGGCATTTATCAGCATGGAACCTTCTCGTGAGGCTCGTGTCGCAGTTACCAAGGCCGCTGAAAAAGGCTGGAAATTCCCTACCCCAGACGATGAATTATTGATCTTGGACATGGTCATCGTTGCATATCTTCCTAATGAAAAAGACATCATCATGGATCGAATCAATTATGCGTGCACAAAACTGGAATATCCAGCTGACAAGATCCGCATCAATATCGTTTACAACACGCCTGTTCCAATTCTACCTCTCGAGGATGAAATGTGGGAAGCAGCCGCCAAATATCCCCAGCTTCGGATCATTAAAGTTGAAGGCTCCACATCCAAGGCCGACAATCTCAATTATTACCTAAGTCTAGACACTGGTTCTGACATCACTGCTGTTTATGATTGTGATCATTACATGCATCCTCATGGTCCTCGATGGGCCATTGAGCGATTTATGAAGGACAAGGAGAAGGTTGATATCGTTCAAGGCCGTTGCATCGTTTTCAACACCGGCGCTTCTTTCCTCACTAGTCTCATCAGCATAGAATTTGACAAAATTTATGCCGTCTCGCATCCTGGAAGAGCCACCATCTGGGGTTTCGGTCTATTCACGGGATCCAATGGATTCTGGCGAACACCACTTCTTCGAGAAATGAAGATGGATGAGACTATGCTGACTGAAGATATCGACTCTGCGCTTCGTGTTGTAGCCAGGGGATGCAATACTGTTCACGATCTTAACGTTGTATCATATGAATTAGCACCTACAACCTTTGGGGCTTTCTGGAAACAACGTTTAAGATGGGCACAAGGATGGGCACAAGCAAGTTTGAAGCATTCAATCTTGACCTTCAACCAAGCCAAGCAAGGGAAGAGAATCTTCACCACCAGATTTGGACTTCTCAATTTGTTGCTCATTCGTGAGTTGAGTTACTATTTGGTCACGCAATTTGCATGCTTGGTGGCAAGCTTCATTCTTCTCAATTTCCCCCTCACCCCAGCCGCGTTCTGGAAAACGATCTTCTTCCAATATCCAATTTCCGAGTGGTTTTTCTTCGTCAGGTAAGCTTTTCTATACCCACTCATCTGATTCCATTACTAATTAATCTACAGTATTTTCTGTCTGATTGCCACACTTTGGATCACCAATCAAGTCAAATCTGAATATGCATCACGATGGATGATCGTCAAGTTCTCGATTGCGTATCCATTTTATCTGTTATTTTTAGCAACGATTGGTCTATTTGGACACGCTCGTCAATTGGTCAAATATTCATCTTGGAATCCGACTGCGAGAGCCTAGTTGGGATGATACGAATAATTTTACGAATAACATACATACTTTTTAATGGGAGGAATACCTTTAGACTCGGTTATCACTATCTAGACGGCGTTTGGAGCCAAAAATTTAATATAGAGGTGCATTAGCTTATACGCTGTGAAAATTTCATGCTCTTTGTCAATTTCCACATCGAAATCTTCAATGTACCATGGTCCATTATTGTGCTTGTGCTCGGATGTTCTCATAAAATAATCCGAAGTTGAATTTTTTATTTCCCAGCCTGTGGAATTTACGGAATACCTCGCTTGCCAAGCTATTCCCCTGTATATACCCCTGATGCTCTGACTACACACAATCATACTCCCCCCCCCTTATTAACCTTATTGGAACTGGGAAGCTGCTACATGGGTATTGATAGTAAACATTCCCATGATGGCATAATCCCATCCTTGCCATCATCATATTTCTTTGGAGAATTAACCTCGTCGATCCAAACCCATTTTTCTAAGCCTGGTGCGTCTCAGATTAAAAGGCTTTTTTCTTCGACAAGCGGAAGATCGACACCCCCATCGGTAAAACTAGAAAGTCCACCTACCTACTCCCTTGCAATCTTGACCCTATCGAGGCTATCGATATGTGAGAAAACCACATGCTCATTTATGTTACACGTACCACTTTTCTAATAATTAGTACTGTAATACTCTATGATGTATAAAGATTAGATAACACATTGTCATGAGGGGGGGAAAACTCTAATTCCTATTTTGAGTTTTTCCGTGCTTGTTATCAAATCTTATCAACAGCAGAAGGTTTTTATTTTAAACTTTTCCAAGTCAAACATTCATCTGATTTGCATCGTCTGACGCCCAGTTCGGTTCCTGATTTTCCCCCCGCGGACGCTCCCTCAACCACATGTCGCACGAGCATCCATCGTGCGCAAACTCCTTTATTAGCCACATATGCCACGAGCGCGCTTGAAAGTAGTTTCCAGGACCAAGAGTACGGTGTACCGGGAGTGCCTGAATATAAGGGTGGATCCAATGCCGAAGCTAACAGCACTAAAGACGTCTATCCGGCGTCAGATCACTACTAGGCCTAAATGGCTCTAGTAAAGTGGCAGAATCCAAAAGCATCAGCATATATTGTGAAGATCGTGATAATCCAATTCAACTGAGAATTCGCATGGCGCTACCTACGTTGGTGGATCTTTCTGGACCGACCTGTCCCCTCCTCTAGAACGATTGCGGAAGAATGTCTTATCATAGCACAGCGCGGCAAGGGCAAAAGTTAGCAGCTGAAAATGACAATACTGCCAGCGCAAAATATTGATGGGGCAGAGGGTACAAAAAGGCTGGAAAAATATATCGAGAAGGACCGAGGAGATCGACAAGTGTCAAGAGCAAGTTTCGGTATCGGGATTCTGGCAGAAGTCGTGAAGGCTGATGAAATCTCTAGAGACTTGATTCTCCATATCCACATTTTGGAGAACCAGAGATCATTAACCTCCCTCTTCAGCCAAATTTTGGCATAGTTTTTGACGGCGAAATCGGTTTCGATATGGCTTCTACCCCATTTGCACCCGTGAAGGCTTTCTTCCAAGAACCTACTTCCCATCAGGTTCCTTCGCAATCGCACTTTGTCGGCGTGAAAGGGTTTATTGTCCTTCAATCCTTTCTCTGGACATTTCTGAATACCCTCGTTCCCACCGTCGTCATCGGTACCACCAATACCGATGGCCGTCTATACCAAGAGATTCTCCGTAAAGTATTCTCGGTACTCTTCTGGAACGAATCTCTCATCTACAGCGCATTTATACTGATATCCGCGCGCACAATCTGCACCCCCTTCCTAAGTAACCCCTCGCACGTATCCGTCGCATCGTCTTCTTTCCGCCGAGGTCTCCGACTGTGGTTTCCCTGCGCATTTTCCCTCGCCATCATCTACATCGTATTCACCTGCATCGGCACATCCTACATCGATGACTTCAAAACCAGCACCAACAACACCACCGTCAAGACCCCCTACACGTTCCCCTTTGCCCTCGTCTACTTCAACTCGGTCTTCCAGATCTTCTGGACCAACAAGAAATTCGACGCCCAAGCCGCAAACTATGCGTTTCCCTCGCAGACCCTCTGGGTCGTCTCCGTCCTCTTCCAACAAAGTTACACCGTCTACATGACCATGGTCATCATTCCCTACGTGCGCAAATCATGGCGCGTAAAGGCCTTTATGGGATTTATAGCCACGGCATGGTGGGTTGACAGCTGGGCTTGGTTTTCTATCACCGGTCTTCTGTTGGCCGATGTTAGCATCAACATGGATTTCCAAACGCGTGCGCGCGCGGGAATTCCACTAGGAACCTTCCGGGGCCGCCAGTGGCGCATCCCGGTTTGGCCGCTGTACAGTATTGTTACGTTGGCGGGCCTCATCATGATGTATCTGTGGGCGGCATGGAGACCCCAGGATGTATACAAGGAGGTGCGCATCCACACGGGAGAATATTCCACCGGAGGACTCAATGATGTGAAGATGGTAGCGGGCACTCCGATGGCGAGAGATGATAATTATTTGTTCTTGCTGGGAACATTCTTGTTCTTGGAGACGTGGAGTTGGATGCAGGCTATATTCCGCAATCCCCTCTTTATGTATTTGGGAAGGAGATCGTTAAGTAAGTTATTATTTTCTCCCTCTCCAATCTTATTCATGGTGCATAATCTAACAATATCATAGGTTGGTTCCTCGTCCAAAGCATCATCATCTATACCGTGGGTATCAAACTCTTCGTCCATCTCACCGAAACAAGAAATGCATCTTTCGAGGCAGCAATCGCGGGTTGTTTCTTCGTGTGTCTCGTGACGGTAATCCCAAGTGCGGAAATCTTTTATCGATTGATTGATTTCCCATCTCAGGCATTTGCCAGAGCTACATTTGACTGGATCAGGAGGTAGTCCGTCCAATGGAAGAGAGAATAAATGGGGGAAGTTGTGTTCTTGTAAATGTAACTATATATAATGTCATGTGTTATGTCTCATGTACCATGAATGGGATAGGGTTTATAGGAAGAGTAAATTTTGTATTTCATCAGAATCGATTGTAATAAGATATTCTCTTAAAACGTTCTTCAATGACTGCAGCATTCATTGGTATATTGTGATTATATGATGAGGGTACTTGACATTAAGGCAGTAGCCTCAAACTTTGACATCTTTCCATTGGAGCCATGCAAAGTCACATCGACACATCTTCCCTCGAGACCAAATCTCACAATGATCAGATTCAACAATTCACAACCAGCGTATTAAAATTCCCCTCCTCTCTCCTCTCCTCACCTCCTTTCATAAGCCTAAAGAGAAAGCGCTATATCCTATCAATTTCCTAAAAAGCACATTATGTTATTCTGGGTATCAATGTTGTAAATGATGCTATTTGAAGTATTTACCGTTGATTCCATAGCACACTGAAACATCAACAAATGAAGGCCGATATACTCGAGGAGTTAGTTAATTATCTAATACCTAACACCTAATACCTGCGTGATCCAGAACACATACTGTAAAGTAATCTCAAGTAATATCACTCACATCACTCACACCATCTGGCACACACAATAAGATAAATGCATTACTCTAGAAGCCAAAGGAATTTTTTTTACAATTTTTAATTGTATTTTCTTTCTCGATTTTCAACTTCCAACTATTAAACCTTAACTACTAAACATTAAACCATGATGAAAGGATATCTATATACATATCAAGAGCCAGCCGAAGCCAACAACCATTACCAGAGAGATGAGACCTGAGATTCAAGACCTGAGAGGCAAGACCACAGAGACAAAACCAGAGAGACAAGACAAGAGACAAGAGAGATAAGATCCGAGAATCAATACCCGAGAGCCAGAACTAGAAAGACGAGACAAGAGACAAGAGAGATAAGACCAGAGAGCCAAGGCAAGAGAGCCAAAAGACACAAGACCAGAACCAAATCTGACGATAACCAAGACCAGAAAACCAAGACCAAACAACCAAGACCACTAACCCAAAACAATCGAATCATCAAGCGGCTTCGCATCAGCGGGAATGGGCTCCTTCCTATCCTCATCATTTGCCAACTGCAACATAGTACCCTCAAGGTGTACCTCACCACCAGTCGTCATCGAGACATTCGCAGAGGAGTCCGCAATCAACCACTTATCATCGACCTTAAAATCCGCAGGCAAGTTCTTGACATATTGTTGGCAGCGCACCTGATGACTGTAGATAGTTTTGCGGCCAGAACCCATATGCCAATGAGCGTTGAAATCCGTGTAGACCCAGTTTCTCTCGCGGGCGAAGATCTTTTGAGCTTCTTCCCAGCCTGCCGTGCAGAAGAGATAGTTGGCTGTTTCTTCGTTCATGTCGGCCGTCTTGGCTCGCAGCGACTGACAGATTTCGAGGTTATCTCCGTGGATATCGGGCTTCATGATGCGGTGATGGAGGAGCTTGGTCTTTTTGTCGGTTTTGTCGGGCCATGACAGGTGCAGTCCACAGATGAGGTTCAGATAGCGGGTGACAGGTTTCATCTCAAGCGTTTCCTCGGGACAGCGGTGTTGGAATGTCTCCCAGGCACGTGGTTTGCCCTTGGTCGCTTCTCCCCAGTCCGTGTGGCCAGGTCCCATACCCAAGCGATACATAAAGGCTTCGGTATCGAGGCCTCGGTAGTCGCGTCCGGAAAAGCATGGAAAGTTCTTGGACTTCTTGAGGGGATTGTCAGCGACGATGTTGGTGTCGCTGCTCGAGACCGAAAGAGTGAGGGCTGATTTACCCATGTTAAACGTGAACTCTTTTCCGTTCTCGAGATCCAGCTCCGGCTTGAAGTAGTTGTTGCGGAGCTCTTTATAGTGCTCCCAGGAATTTTGCCCGAGTTCTGCCGTGCTGAAGCCGAACATTTCAAGCGAATCCTGACCGATGAGCCCCTTTTCGTGATTACCGTTGTTCATCATTGTCCAACAGCTGTATTGGCACAATGTAGTAGGTTCATCAGCAGGGCAGTATCTCATCTCGGCCGATTCAGGGGCATGGCATTTTTCCAAGACGGTCTCTGGATCCATGTTGATTTGGCATTTCATGTAACACTTGTTACTGGCCCATGCAGCAGAAATCAGGTAGCCCTCCAGTCGTTGACCCCAGCTCTTAGCCTCCTTGGCGATATCAAAGGTTTCCAGACGGTGAATGGTATCTTCGTAATCAGCGCTGTACATCCACTCACTCATTTTGTGAGACCCAGGCACATCTGGTCTGAGTCCGTTGAGTGATCTGTATGCGTCACTGAGCGTAGCGAGATACTCCATAAAGATTGCGCTCAAGTGGAAGCCAGTATCAGAAATTCGGGTCGGGGTGTCGGCTCCGGTGCCAGTAATCCCATCCATTTGACCGCACCAAAGATCACTGGTGTATGATTCTTTAAGGCGTAAGAAGTCCACCGAGCCTCCTTCATTACCAACAGGGTGCTTTTTGGCTTTTAAAATGCCGTTCGCAATTGGTAGCCCGAACTCGATATGGTATTTCAAACCCTCGATATATTTCGGCACATTTCTCATGGCCATATCGGCCATTTTAGCAACTGTACTGGCGGCTTGACCTGCGGGTATAAATCCAAAGCCCATTCCAATAAAATCCATGGAGATTCCCCAGCTGAGTTGAATGGCCCAAGTCTTAAGCTGGCAATAAAGTATGGCTGTGGGGTCATCTTGTTTGGTGAACCTAGAGATGATGCTGTCTATTCTTGGAATCACATAAGCAATCGCACCACTGATGACTCTCATCGTGTTACTTGCAGAGCTGAAAATTAGCCAGAATGACATGGCAGCCCAGTACCTAGCCTGGGCTTCCTCCACTTTCTCATCCCGACTCAAACCTGTTTCCGTCGCGTCCACAAACTCCAGAATGCTAAGAGGATTTGGTTTTGAAGCACAACCGCTGTCAGGATTGCAGATCCATTCTGTTTCCCCCATCTTCTCTTGTCCGTAACGAGTCGACAGGCTGCGTGCGCTACTAGAATTTAGTGCTGAATCCTCCCATTTCTTGAATCGTTCGAGCCAATCGAACTTGACCATGTTGACGAATTGCATCTCGAATACGCCACTCCTGATGATGTTGATCAGTTGTACACGTGACATGGACCTATGTTCCTTTGCGACAGCGAGCGAAGGGGACGAGGACAAAATCGAAGTTCCGGTGAGCGAGGGAGAGTGGGACACCGAGGCGACAAGTGGCGAAGAGACGGACGGCGAAGGGACAGACGTCGAAGACGCGGACGAAGAAGAGACAAACGACGAAGAGACAGACGACGAGGCGATAGATGGCGAGACGAGAGACAGCGAAGGGACAGACGTCGAAGACGCGGACGAAGAAGCGGGAGATGGCGAAGTGGCCGAAGGCAAAGAGGGAGACGTGGCAGATAAGTCTCTACCCATGGCCGCAGTACCGGCCTGGGAAATGAAACCCAAGCCGACGGCCAAAAGAAGCCTGGGCTTCATGGTGTAATCCTCTGTAGCTCAGAGGAGGAGCCTTTGATGGTTGACGTGAGAAGATCAACGAAGAATGGGTTGGATGGATGTTGTTGAGGAGAGGAGAGGAGAGGAGAGGAGAGGAGAGGAGAGGAGAGGAGAGGAGAGGAGAGGAGAGGAGAGGAGGGAGGATGGCTGAACTTATGGAGAGAAAAAAATGGGTGGGATTTTCTCTGTGGTCGGATGTGGAAAAAATGTGATGATGAAGTAAGTGGTGCGTTGTGTTGGATGCTGGAGGAATAATTTGGGGAATTCCTTTCTCTTAAATATTCAGATTCTTGAAGATCGGAATGGGTAAGACTTTCTTTTCTATGGCCGAGGAGGAGAGGATGGCTAAACTTATATAGAGAGAAAAAATTAGATTTTATATATGCCCAAATATAGAAAAAAATTCAAAATTTATGATATGAAATGATGCGTTGTGTTGAAGCTGGAGGAACAACTTGGGGAATCCCTTTTTCTTAAATATCAGATTCTTGAAGTTCGGCGCTACATCATCGGAGCAAGATGGAAGGAACAAAACAGATGAACGCCACCTCTGCAATACTATTTCCTACCAAATCAAACCAAGGCAAAATGACACAAGTAATGCAATCGATCGACCAATCGATATGATCAGCACCTTCCTTTCAGCAGTAACCAAAAATCAAAAGTCTGGACCAAATAGCCAAAAGTCCGGTCCATCTCTACAATTCTACACCACGTACGAGGTATTTCCCAACACCAAAACCCAGGCAAGACTTCACCTGTAATGACACCAGTAATGACGAATAACCAAAAACGCGACGGTCAGAATGAAAGAGTGAATGGCGTTACCGACAAGATTGACACTTGCTGTGGGGTTCTAGGGCCATTGAGGGGGAGTTCGAGGAAGGTTAGTGCTTTACAGTAGTGCTTTAGTGCTTTAGTGCTGCAATTGGTACGCCGATACCATTCGTTGTCTGACATCTTGACAGATATTACTATCCTAGAGCTTGATACCGGTACCGGTACTGTATTAAACCGTATACTTTTGGTAAATTCGGTGACGCTATGCAAGGATTTGTTATCTTGGTAAAAAAATTGAATAAAATCCCGCACGCTATAGCCTGAAATAATATCATTGTTTGAGAGTTTCCTAGCAATTAAAACTCAAAACTAAGGTCTATCAAGTTAGCCTTAAATTTCTATCCCTATATAGCGTCACCGACTTAACCAAAAGTATACGGTACGGTGCTGTACTTTACAGTATCAGACGCCAAGAGCAGTTCGTCCGATCGGCACATATCTACAGTAGTGTCTTGGGTAGAAGAACCAAGCTATGAGGATCTCCTCGAAACTACCAATAGAAACTATTGAAACGAGGGATATATGTCCAAATCATTTGGACATCCTACGTAGGAAGGTAATCCATGATTAACATCTTGACAGATATTACTATCCCAGAGCTTGATGCCGGTACTGTACTGTACCGTACTATACTGTATAAGACGCCAAGAGTAATTTTTCCGATCAGCACATATTCAGTACAGTATTCCACATAGGGAATCAAGCTATATACAGTATGAGGATTTCCCATCGACCACCTAGTACCGACCCATTAGGACTCTCCAAATGAAGAGAAAGCTGTCCTCCGTAGGTAATCACAACGAAACACCTTCACCATAGTAAAACACTATCAATAAACCAAAACCCAAATCCTCAATTCTCACCAAAGTAAACTACCGGTAAATATTTTATTCTGACTATTGACCATTGATAATTTGACCGTTAAAACCGTTTCCCCAGTAATGTAAAGTTCGAACCAATCTGACAAGTCTAACAAGTCTAATAAGTCTGACGAGTTTGACCAATGACGCACATGATGACTACTGTACGGACTAGTACCGATATCGCAAACTTTTGCTAGTAATAGTTGCTAGTGGTAGTGTGAACTACATTATTGGCTGGAAAATCCTCTTAGCTTCATTTAGGTTACTTGAGTAGTATCATTAAATGATAGGCTAAAGCTGCACTTGCGCCTTCAGCTGGGAATCGAGATTTCAATGGTACCAGAGGCAATCAGAGGCAAAGATAGATAGGCGGCGACGACCTTGGTTTGGGAAACCCAAGTAGTATTGTGTCATTGAGCTAAAATTGCACTTGCCCCTTTAGCTGGGAATTGAGATTTCAGAGGCAACGAATGATAGGCGGCGACGACCTTGATTTGGGAATGGCGCCTGATGATTAACCTTGATGGTTCACCTGATGTGAATATAAACTATTAGCTAATTAATTGTATTCTTGGCATCACGAAACTCGAAGATCTCAAAAGGACGAAGGCAATGGCTGGATGACTCTGATGACGATTCTGATGGTATTTTAGGTTGTTGGGAACTTGGGAGTCTCCACGGCTGAGAGGAGTGGCGACTGTCCGTCTTGGGGGGAACTTGAAATCTCTGGGTAACCTCATGCTCACCAATAATATTCTTTCCCATTCCAATCAATCAATCATCACATCTTCCATATACATCACAATAGCATTGTTCTGGATCCGGACAATGCACAGCATCCTTCCCAAAAATGATATGCCAAAGATACTCCATGACCCTCCCGCTCTTCCGATCCGGCAGCTCAGTTTGCAGCACCCAATCCCGATAATGGATATACTCTTCCCTCTTTCTTCTTAACACCTGCCATCTAGACACCGCAAATTGCGCACAACACGTCGCACCAATTTCATCGGGTACCTGCGTTTCGTTCCCGAATACTTGGCTCCATATCTCCGCATCGACATGTGTGTTGTGGGCCAGTTCCGATGATATGCAGCCGGGCTTTAGCGCACAGCGGAGATTCACATAGCCTTGCTGTTGTACGAAATCGAGATTGAGGGTGTTGAGTGATACAACATTGTCGTGTCCAGGTACGTCCGTGTGCCATGCATTCCACCAGCCGTATTGGTGGGCGTGCAAGAAGGCGATTGTGGAGGGGAGTTTGTCGTAGTTGTCGACGATGTAGGTGAGGTATACTATTGACTCATGGCCTTTATTCGGCGTGTGGAGTTCGGCATCTGGGTTATCAACCGAGTAGATAAATGATTGCCAACTGTCATGCCATCAAAATCAGTAATTGTAAGTACTTGGAATTGGCCTTTTTTTTTCACATCTGAGATTAACTTACTCGGGTAAATATTCCTCAACCCATGATATATCTTCAGATTGCATATGTGGAATCACAACAGCTCTATCTTGACCTTCCTTCACCGGCCTAGGAATGTATCCATCAATTGATGCGCCTACGATATCGAAAACCGTGAAGAGATTGCGCAAATGAAAAAATATGAAAAGAAGATTGAAAAAGAGTACTATCGCAATGATAGCCACTTTAGTGGCTCGTTTCATAACCTTAACATTCCCTTTGGCAACGACAACGGCAACGTCAGTGACAGTGGTACTATCAGGAAGATGAAATATATAATCGCAACGAGATTTCCAAAGAAAGTCGATCCAAAAGGAAAACGAAGTACACAACTCGATAAGTATTTTAAATGGAGAGCCATTTTGGTACCCAAGGACTCGTACCTCCTTCCAAACTAGGCACGACCCATTCATTCATCGCATTGGTAAGTTGGTTAACTCATGGATAAGTTCAAAAGACCCCTCTTACCCCTCTCAGAAACATGTACCGGTACTTGAGCACATAACATAACATAATACCTACTCGAGTACAACCACCACGACTTTACCACAATCTCCATCTCCATCTATCCATCTTATCGTCTTCATTTTCCCCAGGATGTTACTTGTTGTATACGAATGAATAAAAGTGTATATGAAGACTTCCCGCCAGATTGGGAAGCCTTCCAGATGAGGAATACATGGTAGAAAGCATGCGATCAATCTTTACTTCAATCAGGTGGGGGCTCGCTACTCGCTACTCGAGTAGATTGTGATATTTTCACCGGATAATCTTCGGTTAAAGGCTACATACACGGGCCATTTACCTACCTAGGTAGGTAGGTATTCGTATTCTCATTCTCCGGGAAGCAAATTTGATCATCGGGTCAGGGATTATTAAAAACCTGTTCGGTCCCGAGATTTTAATAGCCGACTCCCGAAGATCTACTTACCCGAGATCTCGAGGGCCTGCGGTTACTTGTTGATTGATACCCCGACTCGGAGGTTATTGACGTGACGGGATGACTTTGACTTTGGTGTTAATACGATGTATGATTCCCGTAGATACAAGTATGCACATCTTGATACTGGTATTGGTTAGTGCCATTTATGGTATAATATCAATTTTCTTCGGTTCCTTCTGGCTACGGTATGTGGTTTTTTGGTTGTGCATCTCTTTACTCGGTCTCTCACTGTGTTATATGTTACTGTGCTATCTTCAAGAGATCTTGGAGTCGGCGCAGAACCTCTTGATATACTGATACAAGGGAAAGATGGTGGCCTCGGTGTATTAGTATTACTCAAAGAACACTTGATTATGAATACCGGTAGGTGATGATAAGGATTCGGAATACTTCAAATTTGACAGTATCATATCAATTAAGATTTCGTTCCAGCAAATGGGGTACACCCTATCCTTCAAATGCTGCCGCAGAAGGAAATATTAACGTTAGAGAAGGAAATATCATTTCGTCTGTCATTCTAAAGGTCACATAACACCACGATTTTACTTACATCTCCACTTACAACCCTCAACATTCACTACAATTTCACCTCGCTTCGTGAAGGGGAAAAGTTACCTTCCCAGATACTTCAGCATCTTTCGTACGGCACAATCGTACGCTACTTATCTAAAATAGTACGGCAATAAAGAATGTAATCGAAGAGATGTTACGTGCCAATGCCAAAAGCCGTAGCATAGACATGTACGGCCTTACTCGGATAGTTTTCCTTGAAATATCAGGACCTCTTCCTCTCAGCAACATTTTTTTTCTTCCTCCTACATCCATTCTCATAAGTTCATCACACACATAAAATCACCACATAACCTTAACCACACTACATACACAATATCCATCTCGGTCACACACTACAAAACGAATCTCAACTTCCCAAAACCAAACTCATCACACCACACAAATACACAAAATATCCCCTTCCCAAAACCAAACCCATCACATCACATCAAACCATGGCACACTGGGCACCAGGCGCCCACCCCCCTATCAGCCGCCACCTTTTCGGCAACGAATTCACCTACGACACCATCCATTTTCTCCAATGCAGAGGCTATTCCTTTGACGCGCTACCCAATCCCGATATCTTCCATGAGAAATACAACGATATCAATTACTGGAAAGCACAGCTAGCATTTCGAGGAGCATCATCTAGGGGTGATATATTGGAACTCATTGAACGATGTCTTGGTGCGGAATTGCCGGATCAAATGCATCCGAGGGTGGCTGTGGCGGGAATTCATATGACGAGGGAGTATGTGAGGTTGACGTGGGGGGAGGATGAGGTTGAGTATATGGAGGATGAGATGTTGGAGTTGGAGGAGGAGATGTTGGATGAGGAACAGGAGATGTTGGAGGAGGAGCAGGAGATGTTGGAGTTGGAGCAGGAGATGTTGGAGTTGGAGGAGGAAATGTTGAAGGAGGAACAGGAGATGTTGGAGTTGGAGGAGGAGATGTTGAAGGAGGAACAGGAGATGTTGGAGTTGGAGGAGGAGATGAGAGTGATCTATAGTTCATATCGTTTGTAATGTTGATCCAAGATCTACACTACTCGTACATATCTATCATCATTCAACTTTATGATACGATACGATACGATATGAAGGGATAAGATACTTCTACATTTTCTGCATTCTCTGCATTTCCTTAGGGATAAATATGCGAGAGAGGATATTCCAGACTGAGAACTAAGCGATGTATTTTGAGCGACAATATACCATAGAAAAGGATTGTGTAGACACCGTTAGCAATAGGAGTACTGATCACCCACTGCACGCAAATACAAACACATTAACAATCAAACTTTCAATTCTATTTAAATTTCAACAATGACAATCATTCTCGAGATGAATCCTCCTAGGTATGTATACATAGTAATTTCCCCATTACCCCCCAATTCTAGAAGTAATACTAGTAGTACTACTCGAATAGTACCAGTACTATTACCATTACCTGTTCATATAAACCCATCAGAATTGGAATAACATAACATAATAGGTTGATTTACAGTAAGCAAGTCCACTACCCCCCTTTCGGACCACCCCTTTCCACCAAAAACAGTGATGACACAAAGTAGAGGTGGGATTGATTATTGAAGTAGATCTGTAGTTGGATAAACCAGCTAATTTTATACTTCTGCTTGATGTAAATCATCTTTTCCAAGACTATTATACTATGAGTACCGGTATAATGAATATCTCATCTTACCCCTACCTACATATTTGCATGCCTCTCTCGATGAACTAACTTAACTACCTAAGAACATCCCTAACATCACTGCCACATAATACAATACCTCTACTTTGTGAATGGGTTCAAGAAATCCTTGATAAAACGTTTCTTTCTAGGCTATATATATCCACTAATATAATATAGTAGCACAGATTACCAATCCCCGCCTGCCCTCCTAAAATTGAAGCGGGCGTAACCTTAAAGTTATACATAAATTATTCCGGTAACGGAATCCGGTATAAACAGGTTCTACTGTACTGTAGCTTCGTATAGCACAACTCGGTGAAGTAGTTGAAGTAGTCGATGGCCACATCCTGTAGTGCGCTTTAGTTATACCGTAAGTAAGTAAACTATTGTATTGTATTGTATTGCAATATGTTCGGCTGACATTTTTAAATTAGGCTTGGAAAGAATCACAAGGCTGCGATGGATGCGGGGCAAATTGCCATCACACACGTGTGCGAGCAGTAAGCCAGAACAAACAAACCCCACCAAATGTAAGGTTACCAAGTTCTATTCTCTCTCATCTCATCTCATACCTCATCTCATACCCTACCTCGAACCTTTAACCTTTAACCTTTAACTTTTAACCTTCAATCTTTCGCATCAACTTCATCTCATTCAGAAGTCAGAGAAAGAATTCTGCAAGTTGGTATGCATTCCTTCCTTCATATACATATATCTGCCAAAACAACCGCTAATTGCATAGCAGTCAGTCAAATTGAACAACCCCCATCCCCTGCCCCCCCACTTCGAGCCATCAAGCTCCCAGAAACGCGCCAAAATTCGATCGTAATCTTCCTCATCTAGGAGGAGTACATAGGGTGGTGCGCATTTAGTATTATGTACGTTGATGCTACTATCGCTGATTGTTCATACAGTTTTCATCGTTTATCATCGAATACAACATCCCCTCCTTCACCCGCGGTATCTTCCTATCTACGACTACACACCTGCCATGTGGTAAGGGTTTCGACAAAGGGCTATCAATACAATGTCGATATACGTGGAGAAAAAGGAATTTCAGACCTGGTACATCAAATCAAGCGAACAAGAGAGGCAAATGATATTTAAAGGAGAATGGATTCAGATATTCCATCGGACAACAGAGCACACAGCAGTGAGTGAGGGTAGTCCCGATATCCCGAAGGAATACACAATTGGAGCGGGCTATGAATGTATACTTCATGGTGGTGGGAAAGGAGCTATTGCTAAAATATCTGGTGCACTTTGAAATTACAATTAACAGCCTATTTCAATCCTATGCATTCCCAATATATCCCTTAATTTGATACCTGATTCCTGATCAACCATAATAGAGAATGAGATATCTGTATCACCAGATATAAATGCAGAAACACAAGTACAACGAGATCCTGACGCCGATTCGTATTTGCTAGTACGAAGCATGGCTTGATGAAAAGAATCTCCCAAAAGATGTAGTTTTTGAATTGGCATATTGGAATATTGCTGGATATGGCCTTGAGCAGATGGAACTTGTTGTAGGCATTGCAAATCAAACGTTTGAATCATTTTGAATCCAGTCTTGCGATCAACAGTAATAGAGAACGTAGCATCTTGTTCCCATAGAGGGAACATTGCGATAATACATTGTTGGTGATTCCTCAGACCCGATTAATATTTAGCCATCACAGCACTGCGAAATGGTTCCTTGAGGCTAATATTCATTTGATCCTCGTCTGGATTACTATAGACAAACTCAATTTCTAGATTGTTGTCAGCGTCTACTCGAAGATATGGCATATATTCATACTTACCCCTTTCTCTGCTTGTGGCCCCAATAGAGCTGTCGGGAGTATTTCTTTCTAAAGTCCTAATATCCTTCATCTGGCGAGTACTTTCCGCATGTAGTGAATCGTATATGGACGTCGTAACATCTGCGCGCAGCAGTGCATGACTGGAAATAGGAATGCTGTTTGGAGGAGCTGGACCGGCACCTGGAGCACGCACACAAATAGTAGTAGATGTGCCCGGATCAGACTCAGACAGTGGTAGTACTGTAACATCCTGTCGGGATTGGTCAGATTCAGAATTGCAGGCTGCTCTGCTGCCAGGACTGTCGGCTCTCAATTGATCTATGAGCTCTGTGGTGTCATCTAGGGCAGTCGGCTCGGCCCCAGTACCACTTCCACTATTGTCCGAGATATCCTTTGTAGTATTGTTCGTGTTCTTCTTCTTTCTCCCGCCTAACTGATGACTTGGCTTTCGTTTTGACGACGGTTCAAATTTTGGCAGAGCTAAAACGTTAGTGAATGTTTTTGATCCGCTTTTCGCCAACTTACAATTGTCCAAGCTGTGAAATATTTCCTCAGCAAGCTTCTCGTACTCTTTCCCTAAGCCAACGATACCTTTGTCCATCAAATATGACATTGCCTGCTCAAATACCGGGCCTCTTAATGTTAACCATTTTTCCCAACTATATTTATGATTAGAGCTGTATTATTTGATTTGGAGCTGATATACATACACGCTAACTGGAACCATATCTCCAAGGAGAAACAAGCTCCCAAAGCCAATTTCTCTGCAATGTTTTCATATCTCGGACCTGCTTGTAACAAGGTTTCAATCGTTTTGACGAGAGATTGCATATCGTTGTCAGCTTCTCCTAGAGATGATTTGCTAGAATGATAAATCGGGAAGATTGTGTGAGCCATACTTTTGGCGTCATCATTTCGAAGCCCAGCTTTTCAACATCGACGAAGCGCAATGCAATAAAATCTACGTAAAATTCGGGAATGGGTGTCAACTTGTTGAAGCTGAAGACAGTTAAGGATGATTGCAGATTGGGGGTCGAATATATCGCAGGTCAGCTGTGCTTGCTGGTTCGCAAAGAACGACGGCGATTGCTTGTTCCAGGTATCGAAGTTCCGAGAGAGAAGCGTTCGTACATGATACTCAGCAGGATCATACCTGTAAATCTTTGCTATACGTTGATGAACCTCTGAAGGTTCAGATGCTGTACTTGGTATTGATGTTGACCTCTTTTGTAGTATGAATGGGAGATGCGACATCGATTGTTCGTTTCTAGATATGTAGGTATACAACTGCGTCAAAAACACTTCCAGATCTCCAACGAACTTTACGATTTATCAGTAAGAATACCTTTATCTCTTCATTGAATTCGTCTTCTCATACCTCTTGGTTGTCAGAAGGTTGTGTAAATCCATGTTGAATGTCTGAACATAAACACATTTTGGTGATGGTTGAAAAGTGAAGGTTGAGAAATCAGAAGTACGAGAGGAGTGCGAGAGAAGGAGAAGGAGAAGGAGGAGAAGAAGGAGTGCGAGAACTATAGAAGTTGATGCGAGACTCGGTTTCGTATGCTTTACTGTATTTGGGTGGTGTAGGTGTGTCTGCATGTCTGAATGTCTGTATGTGTATACATGCTGGGGATGGTGGGGGTGGATACCTCATTTTCACAGGGGTATTTCACAGGGGTGTTTCGCATTCATTTATCTCGCCTTCCCATGGGAATGTCATGATATCCGAATACAATATGCCGGTTTACCGAAGACCTCAACTCATCATGAGATAGTTGTTTCCCGGGATTGTCTGCAGCAAGCAATATTGTTTTTCTTTATATGATGTTAGTTCATCTAGACAGCAGGACGGTGACCATGGAAGTCGGAATCCGCTAAGGAATGTGTAACAACTCACCTGCCGAATGAACTAGCCCTGAAAATGGATACCTCGCCGCCAGGGTAGAAACTATGCCCTGGCGAGTAGGCAGGCGTGGAGGTTGTGACGAAGCCTTGGGAGTGATCCCGGGTAATGAATTCTTATCTTCTCGAGAGAAGGGATTACGAAGGCTTCAACAATGAAGTAGACTCGTAGATCAATAGATGTATAAGAAGAAGCTTGTGGAACGAGGCAACTAGTGTATGCTCTCCTCATCTCATCTCATAATACTACAACTTTATTCGCTTCACTCTATCCTCCACTACATTCTCCTTTCTTTCCTATTATTTATCTTTGGCTCCAGCTTGCTTACGCTCTGAGCTATTTTTGTTTTCAGCTGCTTCCCTGTTATCCCAATATCCACAGAATGACCTATACTCTAGTCATATCTGAGACTTCATATTTACCCACCTCACGTGTGCCCTCTACCTTCCCAATACCTCCTACACTCTCTGTAGGTAAGGATGGTTATACGCGTTCCAATACCAGTACATGTATCAATAATATCAACGAGAAAGTGACTGTATGTGATTGAAAGTCCCTCTTTTCTATACAAAAATAACTGATCCAATCCCTAGTACGGGTTTGGCATTTTGTTGGAGACATCGCCTGGTTTCTTCAAAATATCAGGAGATTGTCAATCTACTGTAGTCGCATTGGAAAGCCTCGAAACTACTCTAGCTGGAACTATACTTTTCATCGAATACGATTGTCGTTATCGAAGAATATTTACTTGGTTATGGCAGTATTGGTTGCGCAAGTGTATATCCAGCATATTTCAAGTCGAGGCCGAAGCCCCAGATCAGTTTCGATCGGGAAAAGTGTTTTTGATGAGTGGAGGTTCTTCTACAGTCCTAATGCACGAGTCTGTCTTGGAAATGAAATGGTCAGGAAGGTTGTACATTGCAAAGTGGAGACGACATCGCTGGGTACTAATTGAGTATCTCTGGAAGGATATTCGAGAGGGACTTGATAGTTTAATAAGTTGCTGGACAAGGCATTAATGCCAAAAGTACGTCCGATGAGATGTCGCTGGATGAAATAGAGGCAGATGATGGCGAGTGTGATGAGGAGCTACGATTGGTTCGGAGGGTACATGTGAAAAATGTGAAGAGAATGAAAGAGAAATGAAAAGAGAATTACCTTGAAATATTGAAGATCATAGTATATGATCTGGATTTTTTGACCTTGGATATGATATGAACTTTAATTGAGATTATAAAAGGTCAGATGATTTTGATTACTCACAGGAAATCTGGAAGAGTTTCCTGCAAGTAGTACTCGAACTATTGCCGATTGAACTGTGGATGGGTATTAGTACTCATCCATTCTAACAGAAAGATGGGTGAAGACTCAGGGATTGGGAATCGAACGGGTCGGTTATTGATTCGGCAGATTCAAAGTGATCAGATGAGTACAGCTGATTTTTCCGACATTTCGACTGGATACTACTAAAATTGCAAGACATCTGAGAGCTTGTGCTGTGTAGGAACAATGATAGATTTTTCTGGTATTGGGAGAGTAGTATCACTGAAAGAGAAGAGATCTAATACATGTACATGACATTGTGTCGTCGATGACCTGTTATCTATACAGCCTGAGGCCCTAGTTATGAAAACGCATGCGGATCGTTTGGTGATAACTACCCCTATTCGACGCATGAATCTGATACTTTTTACGGCCTAAGCCTTCGCCAGTATTTGCTTGTTGAGCTTGAGCCGTGCGACAAGAATTATCAAACCACCCACGATCATCAGTAATCCAGAAAAGAGCGACATTCCAAGATATCCCCAAACTTCAAGAATTTGCCCATTTATAGGTGGACCCACAAGGCCGCTGATGTTATTAGCCATGACCACTTTATGTGAGGGGAAGAGAGAACTTACGCGATGGAAAGGAAACTCATGACAAAACCCATGGCAACACCGAATTGAGTTGGTGGCACTAGTTTCGCTGCACAAACTCCCTGAAGACTAATGATAGCTCCCGAAGTAAATCCATAAGCCAAAGAAAAGATGATGATTCCAGCTACAGAAGTTGCTTTTACCATGCATGTACAGACTAGACCAGAGGAAATGGCAGTAATGACAGCGACGTTATAGCAGCCAAATCGATCCGCCAATAGACCAGGTAGAATGCGACCAAACAAACTAGCTGCATTGACAATGCTGACTGTGTAGAATGCAAAGTTGCTATCCAATCCAAGAGACAAGGCCCATGGCTCGATATAATACAAAGGCGTGAAGAGACCAAAGTAGACTAGGCAAAGTCCAGTGGCAAGTAAAATAAGGACAGGGTTCTTGACGCAGGAGAAGTCCGGTTTTGCTTTGACATGACCAGCCTTTTGGATAGGTGCTCTGACCGAGAGACATCCGATGATCAATAAGGGAAGTTCAATAAAAGCAACGATTCGAAGGGCCCATCCAAAACCAACTTGGACCAGGAGTTTGTTTAGAGCAATTGGCCAAATGACACCTCCCAATGACGACCCCGATACCACAATACCAATTGCCAGGCCTCGATATTGGGTGAAATAGTGTGCCGCGATGGTAAATGCCGGGAGGAGAACAGATGCAATACCGATACCAAATAAGAATCCTTGCGCAAGGAAGAATTGATAATACTCTTTGCAAAGAGAAGTCATAAACAGAGCCAATAGCATCGTGATACTGCCTCCATATACCAAGGGCTATATGATGCTTAGCTTGTCTCCTTGTCATGATAGCGGTGATTGATATACCTTTGGTCCATATATATCATTGAGATATCCAGCAGCGAATGTCCCACCAAACATGCAAAAGACATTGAAGGAACCTAGCCAAGAAATATCAGATGCAGATTTATCGGCCAGCATGTTTTTCGCATAGTATTCTTGGAAGACTCCAAAAGCATTTATGAAGCCTACCGAGCAGAACATTATCGAGAATGCGCCAATGATTGCAAGGCATGATCGAGTGCTGCTATTGGTCAATAAAGCAAACAGTGAACGAAGGTAGGAAATACTGACTTCCATTCTGAGTCTTTGGGGGGAACATCCTTTTCAGAAAGCTCACTAGATGGCTCAATGGGCTGCGATTCTGTGATTCTGTGTGATTTGGGGGACTCGAGATTCTCCCTCAATGGGCTTCTACTGAGATCCATTGATTGAGGCATAATAGATAAGAAACACCCAAATGTCTTGTACACGAAAGAGAGTAATGATATAATGAATGGATGAGATTAAACAGTGGTATGAGACTGATACTATAAACTCACCTCGAATTCGAGCTTACTTATAGTCGAATCTTTCTCGAAATGGAGCTTGAAATGTCATGATGGAATCAAAATATATCGGAGCTTCCATGGCTTGCAGGAATAGAGCTAAAATTCGTGATGGTATGTATGTATGATGGAATATCGTTAGCCATACTGAATCAGAAAACATCCTCGAGGTGTTCTTGGGAAACTTCATTCTAAGGTTTCCTATGTAGCGCGGCACATTTGATTGGCTCTCATGCAGATGAAGGGGCTGGAAAAGTGGACCGGACAAACCGAGAATCCGCGGGGAATCTACAGTACCGTCCGTACCTTTCAGTATATTACTCTTATGTGCAAAAGACTGAGATTAATTTGTTGACGCCGTAAAACTATTATCCGTTTCATTGATTGAATCTTCTAAGATTATCAATTGTGAAGATTTATTCGCGTTGGAGATCACATCACCATGAAGCGATCCTCGCCGACCAACCACTCTCAGGACGAACATAAGGAAAAGGCACCTCGTCGACAAGAACCTGTCTCATGCCAATTCTGTCGGACCAAAAAGCTCAAGGTGATGGAGACCAGGTTGATGATAAAAGATGAATCGTATTCTGATCTCGTCACAGTGTGATCGCATGTTTCCATGCTCGAATTGTCGAGCTCGTAAAGTGTCCTGTATATCGACCGGAGGCCACGCAGATCCTTTACGCACTCAATTAGTCTCTCCTACCTCGGTGGAATCATCAGGGTTGGTGCTTACACTGTGACATGATTTGGTACTCGTATCTAACTATTACCATGGTAGTCAAGAGATTGAGGAGCTGAATGTACGCCTAAGAAGGTTGGAGGAACTTCTTACAAAGATTGCGAATCCGCTGAGCAGTTCAATAGATATCTCATCTGGTATTGCCTCACTCATGCAATCGTTTTGGTCCCCGAGCTGACACAAAGTCGAGGCATTTCAAGGCAAGAAACGCCCGCTGAAGATGTTCAAATTACAAACACAGTCTCATGGCTAGAGTCTGATGCATTCGAGCACCGAAACCCTCACGCTTCGACAAACTATGTAATCTTCCCCCTCACATTTTCACTGCGGAAAGCTAACCAATAAGGATCTTCTCTCGTACGATGATGAAATCACTCAAAATTTTGCTGCTTCGTTTTTGTCTTCCTCGGGTGCTTCCGTACGAATTGGTCTCGACACTCAAGCTTTAGCTTTACTTCCGTCTAGAAAACATGCAAAAGTTCTCGTTGAATATTTCATTGATACTGTCCTTCGGATTTATCACATCATTCATGTACCCACTCTCGAATCTCATCTGAACAACTTATACGACGACCTCGAACAAAACCAACAGCCTCAATACGATCAACTCGGTCTTCTTTCTACAGTATTCGCATTGAGTGTCTATTTTCAAGGAGTCGAACCACTGTCGTTGACTCGACGTTGGACACTATTGGCTCAAAAGGCCATGTGTGCTGCCAATTTCATCGGAATGCCAACAATAGCGTCTATACAGACAGCACTATTGATAGCACAGCATCTTTTACCTAATATCGGAGGCATTGCAACATTCCGAGTTTTATTTACCACAGCAATGCATTCGGCACGTTCTTTAGGATTTGATCAACTTGATTCTGTTCAGAGCAAGAAGCGAAGAGATGGGAAACAATTAAACTACATTGAACTCGAAATCAAACGTAGAATTTGGTGGCACATTACATCTACTGATTGGCAGGTTAACCCAGATCCCTTCTTCATGCCGTATCTGACAAAATTTAGGATTATGTCTTTCATGAGCGGTCCGCAAAGTGGCACATATATGATCCACCCACTACAAATGAGATGTGATTACCCAAGTCATGTTAATGATGCCGACATTGGCCCCCCAGGAAACTATAGCCAACCCCTATCTGTGGAAACTGATATGACATATTCTATGTTTCGATTTCAACTCTCGGTGATCTGTCGGGAAATTGTCGACGCCATGCAAAATCTTGACTGTGAGATGCATGAGCTGCCCTACGAAACGGTATTGAGTTTTGACAAAAAACTAAGCACCATGATGACTGAAATTCCTCCTGCATTTCGTATGGATTCCAAAAGTCGGGCCCAGCACAAGGATTTAGACGCGAAATACCCTTTCTTTGCAGTACAAAGAAGCGCGGGGCATTTTGGTGTTCAGACTAGATTCACCCGGCTTCATCGGCCTTATCTCGCTCGAGGTGCTCGTGATCCACGATTCTCTTACAGTCGAATGATCTGTCTACGATCTGCTCGCTCAGTCCTTGAACTGGGAACAGAACTTATAGACTGGGGCAAAAAGCAGAACTTTCAATCAGTCAGATTGTGGACAGTAACACATCATATATTTGTAGCTACTGTCATACTGGTAATGGACTTTTGTTTAAACAAGGACGATCCACGATCGGAAGAGAGAAAAGCAGAAATTAAGGATGCATTCAAAATGCTTGAAACTTGTCAAGAAACTAGTACCATGGCAAAAAGAGGTCTCCAACAACTGCGAGATATTCTACGAAGAGGAACATCGTCTCCTAAAGAAGCTCTATCTCAAATTCAACTCAATGATAATCAAGCCCGCGACCCTTCAAACTCCATCAGTTCGTCAATGCAACAAGATTCAGATCTCAGAATGCCAAAAGCGATGGCCACGTTTCCCGGCCTTGATGTCAATGATCCGTCTTCAAGAGTGGATTGGGAAAATGTTGATTTCGATACTATCGATGATATCAATTTTGATGTTGATTTGTCGGCTAGTGACTTTGAGGCACTTTTCCTTCAGGGAATGACTCCTCAGTGCGGTTAACCTTCTTGAAGTCTCCTTTATTAGACTTTGACGGCGCGAAATCTACTGAATGATAGTCAATAGTTTTCACTACTTACATCAAGGAGATCCTTTTAAAATATAGGAACACCGAGATTCAATGTGGAGAAAGGATGATAGTGCGTTCCTTCAACTTCATCCGTATCACGTGCCTTCGTCAAATAGACGCCCCAGCCACGGCCAGACCTCTTTATCAATCCAAGGATGAAGAACGAATGGAAAGTGGCGTAACAAGTTGTTCCTTCGATCCATTAGTTGGGCTTCTTTGTATTGGGGGAAAATTCGAGTCATTTATCTGGTTGAACTCTGCAACAATGAGTGTTAGGTGGCTGCCTCTGAGGGTCAGAGTTCGAAATACACGGAATTTTTTTCGGCAAGCGCCAACCTACATGGCCAATTCTGAGCCTCACAATGATTTTAGGCGTTTCGACAACTGAAACGGCCATGATTCTATGCGGATTATCCAATACTTCCAACATTTCTAAGAAGCATGGAATAAATATCTATCTGAACCCCAGCCATGAGCATCAAAGCAGGTCATTTTCATATGCGCAGTTAGGTTGACAGCTTTATCCTGTACATTGTTCCGTTATAGTCAATCATAAATTTCATATCTGTATATCACTACCGGCAGAATGCCTTCAGTCGCCAAGAATCCCACCGCCGCAACTATCCAAACAGCGTTCCAACTCCAACATCTAGTCGAGGCGGGGCACAAAAATGCAAGTTTCATCGATCCAAGCACACTAAAACTCATTCACTCCTTTACCGACGCCCAGCCCGAGAACAAGACATCTCTTCGCACCCCCGAATGGGCGAACTCCAAAGAAGGTGTTCAGAAAAAGGTTTCCTCATTCACAGATGGGCTTGTGGGGGACCTGAATGTCAAGGATATTGATCTTTCTGATGAATCGGATGATAGTGAAGAAGATCAAGATTGGCAAGAGGGAAGTGAAGAAGATAATAAAGAAGAAGATGAATATGGTTCCGAATATGATAGTGATGAATATACGGAATCGGAGGATGAACGTGATACTTTGGATCGCATTAGCGAGGATGAAGATGAGGATGAAGGGGCTGTACCTAAGAAGTGTTTAGATGCTAAGCTTGGTGAAGGTATGCTATCTTGATCTTTAACATTATGATGTGTGTTTGATGGAATATCGTGACTAACCAGACTAGGCATCATCCTGCATGAGATCATCGGTCGAAAAGTAGCTCGTTATGGAAGTAAAGTTCTCAAATCAGGACGAAATCTCTGTCTATCCGAAGCAGACGCCATGCGCTACATCGCAACACACACCAACATTCCCGTCCCTCGCGTGATAGACGCCGTCACCGATGGCAAAATCACAAGCATAACCATGGAATTCATCGAAGGAGAACGCCTCGACAAAACCTGGAACTCCCTCCCAGAAGAACAAAAAAAGACCATCGCAGCACAAATCAACGATTTCCTCTTCCAACTCCGCTCCTTAAACGGTAGATATATTGGCGGAATGAATCGCGCCCCCGCCATCGATTCCCGACGCTACGAACTCGAAGGCGGACCCTTCGAATCAGAATCCCTATTCAACGAGTTCCTCATCTCGGATGCGTACCCCCAAGTTCCCAAATGTTTCCTCAAAATGGCTGAACATTCTTTGCTCACTAACCATGCGATTATTTTTGCGCATGGAGAATTGGCGCCGAGGAATATTTTGGTGAGAGAGGGTCGGGTGGTGGCGGTGTTGGATTGGGAAAATTCGGGGTGGTATCCAGAGTATTGGGATTTTGTGAAGAGCTTTAATGCTATGGATAGTAGGTGCGGGGGCTGGTATGATTGGGTTGAGAGGGTTTTTCCGGTGGGTTATGAGCAGGAGTTTATGAATGATCGGTTTGTGGGGACGTTGGTTAGACATGGGCATTCTTAGGTGAATAGATGGGTTGTTTGATATGATCTTGTGTTAGGGTGATATTGGATATTTGGAATGGTGAAAGCATTGGCGTTCTTGAGAGTTGTATTTGTAATAATCATATACTGGTCTCTAAATAACATATCGCTGTGCGAGATCTCTCATTACAGTTTTGATGCTTAAGAAAGTGGTGCTGAATATGTTTGAACGATATCACCCTTTCACTATCTCACCTGGGTCTGCTGTAGGTAGATAATATTAAGGTGAAGTTGAAGAATGGTAGAACGATAATCTTGGAAAGCTGGTATGGATATCTTATTATATCCCTAATATACTACTGTAATACTTAGGGTACTTGGATGCTCAGGATCTGGATATGAGAAATCGAGGAGGAGGAGGAGGAGAGGAGGAGAGGAGGAGAGGAGGAGAGGAGGAGAGGAGGAGAGGAGAAGAATGGAGAATGAGAGATGGGAGTATACTAAAGAGGGAAATTCAAAATTAAAATTATTTTTAGGGAAGGGGTCAAGGAAAACAAAAGCTTGAAAGTAAATGTGGGTTTAGAAATAGTAATGGTGATGAAGGGAGCTTCTTTACTGAATATGTGGTTCAATTTCTGATAGGGTGATGCTCATGGATGATGATTTGATAAGTGGGTGGAGTATTACACAATATTGTTGTAGTGAAGTTTTTGAGACTTTGGTTGGAGGTTGATGTTTAGATAAGATAGGGGAGACGACTGCTTTTGGGATTGAGTTGGTCATGGAAGGTGGGAGGTGGAAGAGGAAATCAACGTTTGCTCGTATTAAAGACCTTTAAATTGGTGAAGACATGTCGTTTGTTCATTGATTTTTTGGTCTTTTGATCTTTGCAATTTGCAGTCCGTAAAGAAACACCAATTTATGATTTTGAAATTGACTCGGAAGAAAGCACAAAATTGTTTTTACTTGAAAGAAACTTGGTTTGCTATTTGTTAAGTACAACTCCTTGTGACATGATAACATGATCGTCCGGGCTTCAAAGATCATGATAACCCCCTATTTCACTAGAGCAATCTGACAGGCACAGATCAGAAGCCTGTATGCAGGTTGTTTGATCTTTCTTAGAAGAGACTCTGGGGATAAGCACCAATTTCCAAGTTTGCACTTCTATGAATGGCAATCATGTTTTTTTTCTTGTTGATCTGAACATCAGGATACTATATATACTCACACAATGTATTACCCCCAACATCATATCATCATCACTCATCCATTCCTCCTCCTCCTCCTCCTCATTACCCAACTAAAACCACAAAGCACAATAGCACATCACACCCGCCTCCCCACAAACCCTCTCTCTCACCAACCCCCACACCACCAAATCCAAATCCAAATCCACCATACGAAAAGATGACAACCCCAGCAAGCTCCACCACCGTTCCCACCGTTCCCAGCAAACCCATCCTCATCCATTTCCGCCTTTCCAAGCACGGCCATCCCAACCCCTCTTTATCAAACTCACGAGGTTCTAGCGCCATAATCATGCTCCCTCCCTCTATAAACCTCGTAGATTTCACTGCCGCAGCCGGGACGATGATAGATACCGATCGCTTCGGCATCAGAACGCGAGCGCGAGGTAATCTTGAATCTGAGGCTGCATTTATGCTTGATATTGGGGAGCTTTTTGTGCAATGGGATGATGGACATGATCGGCTTCCGGCTCTGCAGGTTAAGAATGATGGGGATTTTCGGGGTGCGTTGCGGATGATGGAGGTGAGGAGTGGAGGGATAATTTCTTTTTTGGGGTGGAGATGAACTTTCAAGAAGCATGAGTAGAGAGAGGGTGGATTGGATGTTGGAGGTGCGGGGATGAGGGAAGAGATTCTTGATTTGCTAGGTGGTAAATTATGAGGAAAGATGAGAGATTGAATGGCCGACTTAGATGAAGAAAAGGATGCTCTATAAATGGTAGAACAATACGAAAAGTAAAAAGATTCCGACTCATTCCTGGTAAACATTTATCTCGTGATCCGGAAATCCAACCATCACCTTCCTGTCGCCGCACTGCCCAATCCGAACCACATTCTTCACCAAATCCGCTGTGTGATCTTCTTGACCTCAATCAGACCTCTACGATACGAAAGATTTCTACCCTAGAGTCCTCACTTCTCCAATTAAAAATATCATGCGTCTCGACCTCTACCTCTTCATAATCATCCAAACATACATATCAAATTTAATTAGCAACAATATAAAAAGCCCAGCTATTTCTCGCCTATCAAGCACATCTTACGATATCCATTCTTGAGATTGGTAAGTTTCGACGATGGATAGGTAAGCGTTTACCCGAGCACATAGAAGGTCTAGATAAGTGTCATAAAAGGGCTTCTCATCTATTGCTTCGACTCGGGTACATCCGGGCCCGGTTCATCTTTCGGATTTGTGGATTTCGGTGGATTCTCGGTTCCTTTGGGTTCTTCGACTGCTAGAGGCAAGATGCCATTATCTTGGATATATTCTTGAATTGTTGCGATGTGTCTTTTGTTGATTTTCAAAATCTGTTGACCATTAGCTGTCAAACTTCCATGAAATCCTCCGCGGGAGAGTCATACCTGCCTATAAAAATCCATATACTGATCGATTTCCTAGATATAGTCAGCAGGCGAGCAATCAGTTCTACTGATTAGATGTTAAGCTCTACCTTTTGGCTTCTTGCGTCTATACTGTCGCTCCTCCGTTGTATTTTCAAGTCGTCTATCATTCGCAGGACGTAATTCGTCTTGCGCTCCCAGTATTCCGTTGCCTTGGTGACATCATATCCCGCCAATTTCATCACCTCCAAGCCCCACATGTCCGCTTCCTTCTCAAGCATTTTGGTGTGAGTTTGCTGATAATACTTGCGAAAAGCTCCAACACACAAGCAATACGTTGCAGCTGGTATTCGCATCTGTTTGGATGCAATTGCTAGGACCACTAGCACCGGAACTAGAGACCAAGCTGCATTTTCGAAGAGCTCCACTGATGTCTCCTCCCCTTTATGATTCAAAAATGCATGTGCGAGTGAATGACCGATAATGGTGGCGAGTCCCACTTCATCAACCGCGAAAAGAGACTGGACATCGGAACCGATGAACATTCGCCCAGGCCATGTTGAATGATCTTTTAAAATTTGAGCTATATTGATCACTTTGATTAGCATCAATTATATTCAGACTCACGGAAGAACAAGCTCACAATTGGTCTCCACGAAATGAAAATTAAAAGAAGACAGTGCTTTTTCTCCACAAAACCTTTCACTGCCAGCTACCATATTCAGTAATTTCCTGATCATAGGGGCCACCTTTTCTTTCTCGACCTCGCTTATTATGTGGTTTGCTGTTATAAAGTATGTTGGGAAACTCCCAAGGATTGCAGAAGCTCCGTATTCGTATTTTTCTTGTAACTTAGCCATATGCTCAAACGAGAAAAACATGATTCGGCGTCTGTTCGAAAAAGGCGTTTTCTGAATATGCATAAACCCCGAACCCCACCATCCGACGATTACTACCGCACATATGTATGAGGACCATCGTACCCATCGAGAGTGTTCAGACCATGGTATATCGTTGTTGGAATATGTTGGCCGGGGAAAGCTTTGTGGAAAATGAGATGGAGGCGGTATATGTTGTCCTTGATGGTACGTTCGCGGAAACCCTCGATATGCGGATATGGATACGCGTTTCAATCGTACAACTTGCCATAGTCGCGAGTTTCTTGGTAGAAAGTTTCGCATACTGCTTCGTATGTCAAGCAGAGAGTATTGGAGAATATGTTCTCAATCGGTTTTTCGATCTTTGGATGGGTAAAGCTTCATGGGAGATAGATGAGCGACGGTTGTCGAAACTCGCAGTAGGAAATCCAAATTGTTTGTTTGTAAGTTACACTTTAAGAATTACTATGTGCCTTGTACCCCTCGGCCAGGGGTTATCCAATCGGATTTTCCCCCAGCAGCCCAGCTACCAGGGTTGAGTCGAGACTGACAGTTGGACCCCCTGTGCATTCGATATAACAGATTGCTATCGGCTACTTTGAGATCTAATCACAGGTGTTACACCACTTATCTATCGTTGTTCAGATTATACGAGTAAAGTCCTCAGATCACAATTTTTAGTGGGTGATGACTGTAGAAAGCATCGTTAATATTTTTAATCCACGAATTACCAACCAGCCGAAAGAACCTCAAAATCTCCAATCCTCCACCCATCTTCCAATCATTTCCTTAGTAACTGGGCCTAACTTTCCAAACGAAGCGCTAGCAGCATCCGAATGATCTGTAAGGAATACCACTCGCTGTTCTGTAGCTAACCATTCATAGAACCCCAAAAGCTTAAGCGCAGGAAACCTCTCGAGTTGATCTCTGGACGTAGCGTCATGTTTCTTGAGTTCCGTGAGCCAATCTCGCAATGGAATTTCATTAGTAATGCCGAGTACTTGCTTAACTGTAGGAAGAAGCTCCGTCCAAATGGCAAACGCGGGGTTGATGAGATTGAAGGTTCGCAAACCTTCTTTAGCCCCACTTCCATGCATCAAATCAATGATTGTCGGTGCCGCACTGTCAACCGGAATCCACTGTACGAGATTCTGAGCTCCAAGATTATTTGGTATCAATCCCAGGGCCTTTGAAGTTTGCATCAGAGTCGGAAACCAATCTCGAGAGTTCCACAACCTCTTTCCATGACTAGCTGGACCTCCAATTTGTCCGCATCTCAACATATCGATTGATATACCATATTCCTTTGCAGCGATGTATAAGATGTTCTCTGCTACGAACTTGGATTGCCCGTAGCCTAGCATGGGTAATTTACTATCGCTGAATACCTCCTCAGGAACCGGTGTGTTGGGATGAACAGATGCCCAATTTCCCAACGAGCTTACCGAGCTCACAAATTGGATTGTCACTTTGCGTGGAGACGACAGGGACCAAGCGATGAAATTGCGTACACTAGCAATATGTTCTTTCTCGAAAGATTTAATGGATAAATTGAAGTCGACTGGCCAAGCATTGTGGATAATAACATCGATGGTTTCAAGTAAACCCTGATGAACTGCGGGTGCCAAACCGAATTTTGAATCGCCAAAAGATACTTTGAGGAACTCAACTTTGGAAGCTCCGTCTGAGGCGCCAAATTCTGCGATGAAATTCTTTTCGGCTTCCGCGGAACGATTGAAGCATACGATCTTTGCGACCTTGGAATCTGCGATTAGGACATTGAGAAGGTAATATCCTAGGTAGCCAGTTGAGCCGGTAAGAAGTACGCGAATGCCTTCACCGTTAGACTTTGTAATTGTTTTGTCTTGCTTGACGGGAAATTCACTGGAATACCTATGAATAAGGCGCTCCAGAGACATTTCTGCTGGTACAAGTGCTCCAAAAATTTGCTCCACCCCACTGAGCTCCGAAACGTCTTTGAGTGGGTAGGCCACCTTAAATATGGCCGTGGAAAGCCTCGATATGGTAGAATTATCGTAAATAAACCTCACTGTGACACCCGAAAGCTGTCCCGCGGGTACGAGAGGCTGGAAAGTTGATTGAATCATATTGGTAAGCTGAGTGATCTGTAGAGAATCTAGGCCGAGAATTGAGAAGTCGGTATCTGCAGGTAAGACCGAATTGTTGGCTCCAACTGTTGCTCCGGATGATTGCAAAATATTTACCACACAATCATTAACGAATCGTCGGAAAGTTTCGAAGGGGGTTTGAAGCAAGGGCGTAGTGGAGAGATTATTGCTAGAGTTTGTGGGAGACGAGGTATTGTAGAGATGGTTAATCTCCTGTTCATATAATGCGACTGTTCGAGCTCTTATAATTGATCCCTTACCTGCTCGTGGGAATGGCTTGTCGGATTTAGCGATCAGGACCATACTTCTATGAATCTTTCCGTGACCTGGAGCTCCCTCGTTCGCTTGTTCAACTGCGGGCCAGACCATATCAATAAGAACAGACTCAGGGAGGTTTTCGTTTTGCCCAATGAGCAGTGCTACCTGTGTTCTTCCCCAACCAACGACGAGAGCTCCGGTCAGAGATTCATGCGAGCTTATGATAAGTTCCATCCTGACTGGATTTAATTTTTCCCCATTTGAAAGAACTATAACATCATCAATACGCCCAGAAAATCTATACAGTGGCTTGCTTAGATGCTTTTCAAATATATCTCTTGTTCTCCATTCCTCATGGGTTGGGAAGATCATAAAGACTCCCTGGATCCATGCATCTTGTGGTACTTTGCGTATAACAAGCTCGTATCTTCCAGGCTCGCCCTCAAGCGGTTCCATGATTAGACCTCCTACGTCAAAGTTGAATCTCATCCAACCCCAGTCCTCTTCGCTAGTCTCTAATTGGGGAATAGCTCCGGCTTCAGTCGAGCCATAAGCTTGTCCCAATCTGACTTTCGAAGCAAGGAGGTGACCTGTGGTTGCAGCGAGAGGACCGCCAGAACTGATGATGATCTCTAGATCGGGAAGCAAGTCTAGAAATTCTCGATAAAAATGTTTGGCAATATCATCAGTGATTGACGGGACCTGGACAATCACTCGACATCTGGCCTTCTTTGCGATGTTGCAGACCAATTGGGCGTTGATTAGACTATCGGTGGGCCCAAGCACGGTAAGAGCCTCATTGAACAATGCCGAAAATACAGATGCGCACCCCCCAAAATGGAAAAATGGCATGCCAAAATAGACACGAGTGTTAGGAATATCGCCAATAAGAAATATACCAAATGGTTCAGCGTCTGATTTGATGTGGCGGAATTTTCTCAATGTATCAAAGACAGAGTAGAAACGATGAGTATGGTAAATTGGTTTTGGCGACCCCGTAGTTCCAGACGTATGATGACAGATAATTACGTCGTCTTTTGCTTCTTCCCAAGTTTTGGTGTAAAGATAAGGTGAGCTTCTTTCGCGGATCATTGCCTCAAACTCTGGTATTTCGAAGACTTTCATCGACGGTCGAAGATGAACTAATCCTTTTATATCCTTGGAAAATTTGCTGGAGAAGAAAAGACCATGGACATTCGTTGTATTGAATATATGAGTGAAATCTTCTTGAGAATTGCGAATTGATGGAAGTAGAATCTGCGATTTTCATTTTCGGTTTGTGCAAACAATTGCCAGGGTATATAACTTACGATGTATCCCGTCTTGATACTAGCAAGTTCCATAACGAGGTATCTGAAATCAGTGACTCCCTATACATCCATTAGCTAGGCTTGATACAGGATATAACCATCATACCATATATGCTATGGTATTTCTGCCTGCGCTTGGTCGTCCCACCTTGTCTAACAACCACCAAGAAATGAAGTTGACAGCATTTGCAATATCTTTGTAGGTAAATTCGAGAAATCCAAGCGAAAGATCCGTTGATTTTGCAATCATGCCCATTAGTTGGGATGGTTTACTTTGAGCCTTGTCATCAACTAGTTGTGGCAGAAGTCGACGTCCAAATGGGACATCTTTGTTGAGAGGTTCTGACGATTCCATGGCCTGATTCGTCGATTTAATTTATCAAAACAAAAAGTGATGTTGTTGTTGAGAGAAAAGAAGAGGGGTAAAGGAAAGCAACGAAGATATAAGAAGGCAAGAAAATGATTATATGGTTTACATCAATCTTTTAATCACTAAGCCTTTGGTATTCACTGTTATGGAAGTGATCCATTTGTTTGTGGAATGAACCACAGGCGCAAATTAAAGTCAGTCCAAAATAGACTCATACATTTTGTAAATGAAACGAAAAAACACAGCATGATCGATCAACGCAGATAGGTGTAGACGCCATCGACTCAGGGTACTTTCTCGTTTTAAAGAATCATATTCATCTCTTATGACTTGGAAATGCTACCAAACTATTGGTACCGTTACTTGAAACATATCGTCAATCATGTTGAATTGTGAATTAAAGTTGAAACGAAAACTTGTGTATAAAAACTCGCGAGTCAAGTGCAAATCATTCTCTCTCTGCGTCCTAGGTCACTACGACAAGAACCAACAGTAAGACAGAGAAGCCATATATGGCGGGTCGTTGGTTACCTTTGGTGGGGGAGTAAGGCCCTACCAACCAACACATGTGAGTGGGCTTCAAGGATCGAATCACTGCGAAGGAGCATGTTTGTTATCGGCGAATATTCAATGCGCCGATGATGGTTCAAGAATTAGAAGGACAAAAGATGGTATGACCGTCAAAATTTCTCTCGATGAGGTGCATTAAAATGTAAAGTTTTGTGATGGTGGTTGGATCAAATACTGATTACCGTCAAATCAGTGATGCGCTTAGTCATCAACATCCCGCACCAACAGACAAGAATTGTCAGGAATGTTGCTGAGTCAGCTAGGAAGCTAGAACCTACATTGTGAATAACCTCATTCTCAATAATATCACCATCGTTGATAACTACCTAGTACCGTAGGTATAATTAACTACGCTTCCATATTCTAACCCGAATACCATTCCATTTTCTCACTCCTCGACCAACTCGCACATCCCAACAACTCTACTCAACACTATAAGGTTAAGCAAGCAAGTCCCCTTCCCTTCCCTTCAACCCAAACCAGACCTCCACAAACAAGAAGCCAGTCAATCAGCCATACCTCGCCATACCGCACTCTCCTCTCTCCTCTCTCCGCCCTGTCATTCACTTTACTTCACCCCTCAAGTCATACAAACGGCCACACCTAAGTTCTAACAAATCTAAGTAAACATCTATGAGTAAAATATCTACACAGCCATACGCAGCCCCATTCATTCGTCTCATTCATCATGAATCTACTCGTATATGTCACTGCTAAAACTCGATCGAGCTATCCTATCCTATATATACAGCACTGCAGTTATTTATATACATCCATAATCCCGCCAATTATACTCCGTTCCGTATACCTACCTAGTATCTGCATTACCTGCCATTCGAATCTCGATTGATACCCATCTGCACCTTACCTCTGCTTAGCTTCGCATTCTGATGTGATGACTCCATATGACGTGACTCTGCTATAATTATAATGTTCATGAAGTTTATGGAATTAATATATATGTGTATTTAGGGAGAAAGCTTTTCGTTGACTTGGGTTTGACTTGAACATGTCCTTGTGGAATTTTGCTGCTATCTTATCCTATAATGCCAGTGGGTACAGATCTAGCTACGGGAATGATATATGTGATGCTTGGTCTTATTCGCATGAGATATTAAAATAAATCAACAATAATTCGAGTGTCATGCCATTCTGAGGTTTGCTCGTCTCGTAGAGACGCTCCGTCGTAAAGAGCGACGATTAGACTAAGAATGATTATTATTATTACTTTGCTGCAAGCTATCTTTAATTTGAATCGGATGTTGTATGTATAAGCTAGCCTACTGGATTCCATGCCTCTTCTTGGCTTGCACATTCTCGATTTTTGATTTCCCATCCACAAGAACTTTCTTTCTCTTTTCGACCTCATCTATTAGGACCCGACGTTTTTTAGACTGCTCGTCAATTTCGACCTTGCTACTTGCCCACTTCTCAAGAACTCTCTTAGTTTGCACATTGCCATCTTTGGATTTCCCACCAACTTCCACTTTGCTTGTCGACTTCTCGAAAATCTTCCTTTTCTCTTCGACCTCATCAATTAGTACCTGTTGTTCTTCTTTGGATTTCCCATCACCTTCCACCTTGCCACTTGTCGACTTCTCAAAAATCTTCTTTTTCTTTTCGACCTCATCTATTAGTCCGCGGGGTTCTTCTTTGAAGTTCCCATCAACTTCTACCTTGCCGCCTGTCAACTTCTTAAAAACTTTCATTTTCTTTTCGAGTGTATCTATCAACACCCGGCTTTCATCTTTGGATTTCTCGTCAACTGTCACCTTGCCAATTTTTGACTTCTCATGGCTCTTCTTTTTCCTTTCGATCGTATCTATTAGTACTCGGCGTTCTTTGGATTTCCCATCAACTTCCACCTTGCTGCTTTTCGATTTCTCAAGAATCTTCTTCTTCTTATCAACCTCTTTTAATAGCACCCCTTGTTCTTCTTTCGAACACAGGACCGCATCGTCGATTTTAAACCATTCATCTGGAAGATCCCCAACTGTCCAGTATTGGGCGTACTTGTTTTTTGATGATAACAATGCAATCAATCTTTTCAAATGCTGTGCTTTCTTATCCGGGGTCAGCAAAGTAGCAAGACTCAGAACATGTGCCCCCTTCTTCCTCGGATCCGTTCGGATAGCCTTCTCACAATCCCTTGCAAAGTCATTACATTCAATGAAAGTTTTCGTATCTTTATCTTGAATCCGCAAGAACATCTTTCCAGCTGTGGTGCTTGTGAACTTCCATCCTTTCTTGTCTTCGAGTGCTTTGATTTCCGCCCCCTCTTCTTGTTCCTCAAGAATAAGCTGCGTAACCATGTCTTTCTGTCGACCTTCGAGTAAGATCACTGCAGCTTTGCCTTCGTTGGAAGCGTGACTACCTCGACGAGAGTCATGGTCGCTTTTGGAGTGAGGTTGCTTCTCCGTCTGACTTGATCTATTCGGAAGGGCGCCATTGGGTTGAGACGGATACATATTGATACATCAACAGCACAAATTGAGTCAAAGTCGAGATCCCGAGGTTCCGAAGACTGAATCCGACGTGATGGTGACGAGGCTCGCCAGGAGTAATATGGAATGTGAAAAGGGTAGATGAATTAGCCCAGGCTCGCGATGTTTATATTAATACGAATCTCTGTTCGAGGTCAGCATCCAAAGTACTTTGGAAACAATTAGGCTTAGAACATATTCGGTCCTGATATTGGCTTAGCCATGAGAACATAATGTGTGCTGTCCGAGCAGGCGGACTAAGTTCTACCCAGTAAAGATAAATAATTCAGCACTGTAGACCTTCATGTGGACAGAAAGTCATGAAACGGCCATGAAGATGGTTTAAAAGGAATATGTTGCACCAATAAGCGCGCGCTATACTTTTTGAAGGTATTTCTGTAGCAACGGTCAAATACAGCCATCGAGATCAGGTACTTTGTCTGCGCTTGCAGGGACGGAGACCCCGCCAATGTGGATTGTAAGTCGACACGATTGTGTTTGCACGGCTAAATAGTCAGCGTTCATTCAGCCTTACGTAGAGGGGTAAACGTTCATGTATGCACCAGTATCAATCGTTCCTAGTCGCAGTACGATAAAACCCGACAAAATGAACGGAAGCGTAGAGTTGTTGATGTAGAGCGACAGGAGATCGCAGTCAAAAAAATTGCTCAGGTCCACGGCTCCAAATCTGTTCCTAAATGTAGCAATAACATATAGGTTTCGATCCCTCTCCAGTTTTGGGTCAAAACATAAGCCGGACAGTCAGTTATCATGACCTGAAAAAGACCTTGGACAGCTTATTTATGTTGGTGAGGCGGCTCAGCTCAGCAGTGTACACCGTATTGCATTTGTATGGTCGGCCGTATCTTGAATACGATCAATCCTTTCAACGAATACTCAGGGATTTGAGGGATTGATGAGTGCAGAGATGAGATCCATGAGGGTTTAGAAGATGCAAGATTGGATGACACGTGATACATCATTTTTATCAATTACCATTGGATCGTTTAGTGCTGCCAAGTCTTATCCAATACTTCTCCACTTTCTATCAAACCCGTTCAAACCCCCCTTCCCCTTCATCTCCAAAAACTCAAAAACTCCACAACTCGGAATATCTCTGTTCCTGTTCTTTATTTTATTTTCAATCTTATGAAAACATCTAAAATCATTCTGTCAACAACAATTCCAACACAATGAATCTATTGCGATAGCTGACTCGCTATATATAATTAATCTCACAGCCTGCAGCTCATTACCAAGCCTGCCAATATTCCCATCAGCATCAATCCGAGTTTCGGTAATGTCTCACAGTATAATTCCGTACACTTGGCGATCCACCAAATTCGTAAAGCACCTTTTCTCCCAAGATCTCGGCATCCCCTGACGACTTGGCAGCGGCATCTCGCTATACCCAAAGATAACATGGTGAACGTCTGGAAAGATTGAATCCCATTCCTATTCATTCCTATTTTCGATGTTCTTCTGATTTTGTAGGTCTTCCTCGACCAGTCTAAGCATTATATTCACTCTTTTACTCAACTCAGCCTCAAAGTCTCATAGAGATCAGTCTTTCTTTTAATCTAAATTTCATACGTCAAACTCTAGCATATTCATATTTTCTCACACATTCTTTTATCACTGTTCTATTTCTGCATCCATCATGAAGCTCGACTCTTCTTTGGCTTATGCGGCAAGCTTTTGCGTCCTTGCCGGACAAGGCGTGGAGGGAGCCATCACACTCGATATTACTTCTACAGATTCGATCAAAATAGCGGCAAGTAACATGGCATATGATTTGATGTCGTATTATACGGGAAACAATACAGGAGATGTGCCAGGAAACTTACCAGCACCATATTATTGGTGGGAGGCGGGAGCTATGTAAGGTTTCCCCTATTGTCTCGATGATTTGCCACTGATCTCTTCTCTACAGGTTTGGAACCATGGTCAATTATTGGTATTACACAAACGATACAACCTACAACGACAGTGTTGAACAAGCACTATCACATCAAGCCGGGGACGACAGTGACTTTATGCCTCTCAACCAAACAAAAACAGAAGGAAACGACGATCAAGGCTTTTGGGGAATGGCAGCGATGACAGCAGCGGAAACGAAATTTCAAGATCCTCCAGATCCAAGTCCAGGATGGTTAGCACTTGCACAAGGAGTCTTCAATACTCAAATCGTACGATGGGATAATTCGACATGTAATGGTGGATTTAGATGGCAAATATTTACCTTCAACAATGGATACAATTATAAAAACAGCATCTCAAACGGTTGCGTCTTTAATTTGGCGGCAAGACTCGCTTTGTACACTGGAGACACGACCTATGCGGACTGGGCGGAAAAAGTATTTGATTGGGTATACGGAGTAGGACTTATTTCCACAGACTACAAAGTGTTTGACGGAACACAAAATTCCGACAATTGTACGGATAAGGATCACAATCGTTGGAGTTATAACAGTGGGATATATCTACTTGGAAGTGCTGCCATGTATAATCATGTAAGCCTTGATAGCTTTCCACTACATTCAATTTCCTAGACACTGACCCCATTCAGACCAACGGCAGCGCAATATGGAAAGAGCGTGTCACAGGCCTCCTCAAATCGTCAACAGACTTCTTCCAGAACGGAATAATGGTCGAGGCTTGCGAAACCGGTACTTGCAACAACGATCAACAGTCTTTTAAAGCCTATTTTGGACGATGGCTAGCTGCAACAGTCAAGCTTGCACCTTTCACTGCCGAAACCATCATGCCTTTACTATCCACCACCGCAACGGCAGCAGCAATAACTTGTACGGCTGGAAAACGAGGCAATTCATGTGGTTTAAAATGGACCACCGGGGACCATGATGGAATTACAGGCGTAGGGGAACAAATGTCAGCATTGGAAGCCGTACAAAGTCTTTTAATACCTCAGACTAGGGATTGGGTTAGCGAGGTCAAGGGGACAGGTACAAGTGAAGGAGATCCAGATGCAGGAACGAATTCCAGGATGAATACTGATGGAACCGAAATTACGCCCGTCACCACCGCGGATAAAGTTGGGGCTACGATTTTTACTATGTTGACCGTTGCGGGTGTTATTGGTGGGAGTGCGTTTCTGTGCGTCGAGTGGTTCTGAAATCCAGTGGAGGAAACTTACTATGTTTATTCCTGCATTTGAACAACTATATTGAAAGAAAAGCCATTGAAGTCATCGTACCAACTGAGGCTAAGCACATTATCGGCGTTTTGTATTCGGATCAGAGGGGAAAGGGTAGCGTTGGGAAGCAAGGCGTTCTATCTATCTGCTGTATAGATAGCTTTTGGTATTGGGCTGGCGTCATCTCATTTGTTTTTCTTCATTCAACTCGTCCAAGAGACATCACATTTTTGGAAGTTTCTGAACAATCCCGAGGCTCAATTTTAAAGCATATCAGTTCAGAAAGCTAAAGTTTAGCCGCCATCAGAAAGATGTATTTAGTTTGTATCATATCCAGAGTCAAAGAGTAGATAGAGACTGATTTATAAAGAGATATCTGACTGTGCATGCAATAGAGTATGCCGGGGCTGCTTGAAATTTTATTATTATTATATGGTCTGAGTAGTGAGATGAGATGAGACGATAAAATAAGGTTTTGAGGAATGACATCTGTGAATTACCTGTACTCTTCACTTATACTCTTCACTTATATTTATATCGAAGTCTGCAGTCCGAAAACACGAGTAAGCTGCTGATATCCTCTCGGACTCCCACTCGTATCTCGTATCTCGTATCCTTACTCAATGTACTCGAGTAGTATGTATGTATATATATATTCTCTCCGGTTTAGTTTCGTTTAGTTCTGTTTCTGGATTGGATTGACTGGTCTGGTCTGGTCTGGTGTATGGGAGCAGGGAGCTTATTTGATGATATGATATTATGAGTACTGTAGGTTCCTAGGTTCTGGACTCTTCTATGTTCTTTGTCTGAAATCAACGAATTTATTATTTTGCTTCTACTCTAGTATACTACTTCACCCATCCCCCCTCTCCCCCCGCCTCCCACCAAATCTGTTTTCGGGCGAACTTAAACGTTTCGGCAATGGAGAATGGAACGTACTGTACCTCCTCCTTATATACCCTATTTTCCTCTCTTCTCTTCTCTTCCATTTTAAACGGTATCCTAAATGGTATCTTCGTCTCGCACCGGTTACTACACTACACGCATTTCCTTCTCCTCAACACCTTTTCCATCATCATCAGAACCAGTTTTTCGACACCCCTCTCACCTCTCCACACCCCAAAACCCAATCTATCATCCACCAGCCCAGCCCATCTAAAATAAACCTATAGATGACCTTGCCATGTAAATACTGAGAGCGAAAATTGATCCAGGATCCTTGAACAGTCAAAGGTCTTGGTTGTATAAAATAGAAATAACTGAGGAGGAAATGGTAGTATAATAGAGAGAATTTGAACACAATTTTTGTTTCGAAGCAATCACTGCAAGATCTCATCTCATCTCATCTCAAAAGCAGACGGGAATATTGTAAAACTAGGTACCTAGTACCTAGTACTGATATGATATGGTAATACACTCACACTGATCAATCATATCCCAAAACATCTCTAAATATAACATACATGCCGGTAATGGAATAGAACCCTTCATGAATAGGAAACCTGTACATAAAAGACAAGACAAAACAAGAAATTCTTTGACCCCAGACGATAATTCGAGTGTCTTTCTCTTTTTCTTCTTATATAGCAAAAATCCCCGTATACAGTACCTCACCTCTTCACAAATAACTAGGAGAGATGGAATCCGACACACTGATTCTGCCCTACCCTACCTACCCTCGTAAATTTTAATGGGGTTTGTTTCTACAGTGAGCAGTGAGAGTTCTGGAGAAGAGAGAAGGTAATACGAGTACTTGTGTACCGGTAGTAGAATGATCAACTATCTTGATAACATATACTGAGTAGAAACTAATCTTTCTTGTATGATCACTTAGTTTACTTACTACTCGAGTATATGTTCCTTTACCTATCTACCTCTCCACATTCCATCTACGAGTACATGGCAAGCGTAGAGGTAAAGTCGAGCCTCTATCTCTCTGTCTCGTCCTAACAAAGACCTCTGTGTTTCGAGGAATACAAAATATGGCATGCTTTCTGATATTCCGGAATTGTCCTGGATAGATTGTATGTAACGATGCTCCCTCGCATATCCCCTCGCATACTCCCCCTCGTCCTTCTTCATCGGTCCATATATTCCATTATATATTGATTGATTGATTGCAATCCACCGTATCCCATCACAGACCACCACAAACTCATCACTATCCACTGTTAACTGCTGGCAGATTACTCGTGTTGGATTATAGATTCGAGTATTCGGAAAAGATATCGTAGTTTGAATTGGTAGTTTGATCAGACTGGCTGGCTGCATGGCGCAACTTTTGTTATAATGGGGGATGGATTCGAGTTGGAGGCACAAGGATGAAGAATCTTTTGTCCTTATCGAATATCTGTGTTATGTAGGTAGATTTATCTGGAAATCGATTGAGAATCTGTTGGGTGATCGTTACTGGGGGCCCAGCTTTTCATCTGTTCTAACTCGAGTAATCCCTGTGAATGAACTCCACGGACGGGTGACGGACCACGAGATAGCTTGAATTACACTACTGCACTACAATAACTCCTGTGCACATGTTCCTGCAAGAAATACATTATCGAATACTAAAAGGAGTTAGTGTTACTCCCCCATCCAATGGAGAAAAGATGGTCACGAAAATCTTACTCTAATGGTCGGTGAAGCCTGTGAAGCCTGTGTGAAGGGGATGAAGATATTCTCATTCATGATCAAGAGAGGAATAGTCTTGTCACCACGTCAGAAGTTGTTCGCATTACTGCGTAGTTATGTACATATCCTACCTATCCAGGACCAGGACCAGGACCAATGAAATGAAGGGGTATCACCAGATCGCTTACAAGTCTAGACAGATGCTGTACTGGTGCATCTTGCTTGCATGATCAAGTTATTCTAAACTTATTTTTTACACTACTCGAGTACATTATTGTACAAAGTTGGGATCCATTATGTTATAAAACATACATATTGATTGTCGGTCTGAATCTGTACATACTAAACAACGACAATAACAACAACAAAGTATTTTATATCTGGATTGTACTCGTATTTACCGCAAACATGATCGAATTAAATGATTTGGTGGATGAAAGAGCCTTTGGTCATGATCTTGAATCCCTACAAGCAGCAAATGAATATCTTGAACGATTACTCTTCGCGACCGCCAGAAAACATAATCAAGTATGGGAAGAATTAGAAAGCATGAAAGAGGCTACTGGTATTTACGACAAACCATTACCATTTCTATCATTCCCTCGCGAAGTTCGCGATCAAATATATTCATATGCACTCCAAGCACCGCGCGAAGCATTCGTAGGAGTTCGACATATCAGAATGCTTTCCTGCGATACATTTCCCGATTCCACACATTATCCATTCAAACCACCCACGCCGGCTTTACTCTTGGCCAATAAACAAATATACGAAGAATCTGTACAAGTACTATACTCATGCAACAATTTCTCCTTCCACAAACCGCGGGAACTGTTCGATTTTCAAAGTTCAATCGGCGTGTACCTTTGTTCCCTGGTTAGACAAATGAAAATATCCGTCGTGTTCGAGGATGAATCTATGCATGTTCCATCGGAATACGTCGCACCATGTGATTACGAAAATATCCCATCGCATTGGGCGAAAGCGTTAATGGAATCAAGACTCATGAATAATATTGTCGGAATGCAAATTGATGCGAATACTGGGTCACATGAATTGCGTTTGATGACCATGCCTCCAGCATTATATCGCGCGATTCTCGCAACTTTTTCTCGGAATCGAAAGGCGAATATGGAACCGGAATTGATATTGAAAGGATTCCAAACGCAGGAAGTAGAGAAATTTCCAAAGACGTGGAAGTTGTCGACGGAGCAATGGTTGGAGGTGGAATGGGCTACTAATGATCAAGAAGTGGATGAATCAGAACCATTCTGGAATTCTTCCGACATGGATCCTGCCGAAACACATAGTTCATGCGGAGATGGAGAAAGAGAAGAAGAGGGCGAAGCATCTCTATCTTCATCAGGAGAATCTTTAGGTGGTTCATCATCATATCTCGGGGGATCGGCTTCGAGTACAGGAAAAGGAAATGTCCCGACATTATTCAACGAACTTGGCGAATTAATGGGCTCGGATTGTTCGGATTCGGATGAGGGTTCCGAGGTAGGCTCGGAGGATTCTTTTCATACCGCTGCGCCGTGGAATGATGTTAAGGAGGTATTGTTGCAGTTTCGAAGTTTTCAGGAGGCGGGTCAGCGACAAGTTGGGCTTTTGGGGTTTTGATTTTGAGGGATGGGGAATGGGGAGTGAGGAGTGAGGAATGGCAATTGGAATTGGTGGCGAGGAAGGAGGAAGGAGGAAAGGAAGTGTCCGGGAATGGTGGACCTCTTCATTAATTATTGAGACGGCCAACAGCAGTTTCCTGTCGCGCACAAAGACTCAGCCACAATCAGGCAGATACCATTTACGAATGAATATCTAAGGGATCAGAATGTTTTGGATATGGACTACAGTATCTTCATTATTTTATTTTCAAAGCACGATTTTCGGGCTGGCTATATGGCGCAACGGAACGGGAAATCTTCCGATTATCCCAAGTCCCCTCAAAACAGAGGAACGAAGAAAATCATATTTCAGAATATCAGAAAACAATCTTTGAGGATGAGGATGAGGATGAGAGTGGAATGATCCATTTATAATTTATTTTATACCGGTAGCCAAACCCCGGCTTGGAAAGAATCATGGGCGTAAGGAGTTCGGTTTGATATTCATACCGAGTATTCGAATTTCGAAATGTACGTGTAATGAATGTACTTGTATATTAAAATTAAAAATCGATTCGTTTATTATTATACGAGTATACGAGTACAAATTATATATACAGTACTCGAGTCTCGAGTATAGTCAGTGTTTGAGATTAATTGGATTTTGGACTATGTGATGAGTATTGAGTATTGAGTATGTTGAATTATATTCGCTAAGATGGATGTGAGTATGAGTATGAAGATGAATATGAGTATATCATAACAATTATGTTATACGGGTCTAATTAGCATATTGATATATTGATACAGGTATCTAGTTATATATCATTATTGATATGAATACCTATTACTCGTCTGGAGGGATTCATCAAAGCCCAGGGGTTATACTAGGTAGGTAGTTTTCTTCGTACTGTATTCTCCTTTCTTGGTTTAGGAACAGTTTGGGAATATTTATTGGATATTGAATATTGGATATCATGTTGAAGATATCTGTTCCCTTCCCATATCTCTTCCCTTCCCGTAATTTCGCATCTCGAGTCTCGTCAAAAGAGAAGAAAGAAAAGAAATCAATACGACAGAAGTACGGTACCACTAGCAACACGTTTTCGGCATAAATCCATATCCATATCCATATCCGTATCCGTATCATATCAAATAAGATCTTATTATTACATTATTATTACATCACATTATGTATAGTAAGTCTTACTTCTTTTTTTTGATTACTCGAGTAAAGGATGGTAGGTAGGTAGGTAGATAGGTATATTTTACATTTACGGCTTATGGTTTATGGGGTGATAGACTGATAGTAGCATGGCATAGTATAGTATGGATGAAGGTGAGAAGAGTGGAGTGAGATGATTAGAGTGAGAGGTGAGAGAGAGGTTGTTACTATGATTGTAATGTTTGGGAGAATACTTGGGAAAATAACTCGTGTAAAATTCATTTCGGAATCTTAGGCTTGGGCTTGGGTGAATAGGGTTTGGGGGTAGGTTTGTGGCTTGGTGTGCTGTGCTGTGAAAATCCAAGTGAAGAGTTGAAGATGAGGATGTCGATGAAGATGGATATATACCTGTGTAGATACAATAACTCTATACCGTCTGAAAATTTGGATAGTGTACTGTGCAGATGTGGCTGTAGTTGTGGATGCAGTGGAAGAGGGAGAATGGATTGAATGAATAGATAGAGATAAAGAAATGAGTAAATGCCAAATGGGGAGTAGGAACACAGTATAACGAGGATGAAGTGGATGAGATATGTATAAAATGAAGTATTAATTGATTTCTATATTGAGTATAGATATAAAAATGGATTGCTATAGTTATGATCAGAATAATCCACGAAGCTCTGCTTGTGACTCCATGTCTGAGAGGTCAGAACCAGTTTCTCCAGTTCTAAATCCGGTATTTAATCAAAGAGTGGTAGCTATTGGTACTACTGCCCAAGTTAGCAAAATAAGCCTTATTTTCCAGCTGGGCCTCTATATCTTTTCTGAGCGATGGGATCTAGAGCCCGGTCTTGTTTATTGACATATGAATGTGAACGAAATAACATCTTGTATAATCAACATCTAGAAGAACGAGAAGCGCTTCCTTCATCAAAGGATTACAAAGGATTAGTACTAACTATCATCTGTATAACTCTGGTGCGAGAACGATTTGTTTCATTGATTGAAGCTCAAGGCTCGTATGAAGAATCGGAGTTCTGGAATCTGGAGTTGGTATCTTGAAAAACGCAACATCAGAATATAGTTATTATTGTTTGTGTGATCATCTTCCATTTTAATGGTTTCGATACTTCTCACATGCAAAATGTACAATATGAATCCTAGGCTCAGTATATAGATACATAAATAGCTTGCCAATCAAAATGGTGAATGAACAGTAATTTGTCGAAGTCTGCCACTACCCCGTGATATAAGGTAGCGAAACTAAATGTGCTTAATTCGCTTAGGTTTCGCTTTCGTTTGATGAAGGGGCTGGAAAAAAGGTTGACAGAAGCCAATGTAGGAAAATTTTTACAGAAATAAGATGAGTCAGATGCTTACTTCAACTTATTACTCGGAGAATCCGGAAGTTGATCGAATGTACTGGATTCCAAAAAAAATTCAAATGTTATGATAGATGGTAAACTTGTGCTAGACAAGTTTGAACGATTTCTCATCACAAGGTGTGTACAAACATGTGGACTTGTATTACGTTCGGAAAGAACGTTGTCAACTTGTCACCCTCATCAACACCATCCCTAGACGGCGAACGATTTCTGTGAAGCGTTGATCTTGAAGTTCTCTCAAGATGATTGTGAGGGCAAAAAGAAAGGACCACCAATGACCCCATCTCAATCCATTAAAGCGCAGGTATCGTGTTAATATTCATGTTCCTTAACTCAGTAATATGAATCTTCAACTCAGTACCTCGCAAGTCACCAAAATCGAACCTCGAAAAATTTGGTGGAAAGTCTTCGTTGGTGTCAATCGTGGCTTCCACGTGATCTTCATGGTTATTATAAATAACCTTAATCGAAAGATCTTTGTCCTTGCCAAGAAATTCTTTCACATCCGTGACATCACATAACATCTACCAAGACAACCTTTTTGAACCCAAGAAATCTGCAACAATTACACCGAGCACATACCCGTTCCTCCGTCACCCGATAAATCCCGATCGAATCTCTTCCGAATGTACTATTACGGGGCATAAACGATCACGTGTAGATAAGGATGGCATCAGATCGTGAATTGACGAACAATGACCTCGATTTCAATTCTCCGGATCGATTTACTCAAGCAGGAACGGAGAGGAAGAGAACAAGAAAGGCTTGTCGGATTTGTCATTCCCATAAGGCGAGGTGTAGTGGTACAACACCAAATTGTAGGAGGTGTGAACAGAGAGGATACATATGTGAATATGAATCTATCAGTAGAGGGGTAAGGAGGAGTGTGCCGAGACAACAACCGACGGGCACGAGTCAAAGTGGTGACAGTCCTGGAGCTGGAGCCAATGCTATTTCTGCTGGAGGGAGTCCAATGGAGGTTGGAGATGGAACGGATGGTTTAGTGTGAGACTTTTCATGAAGGGGAAAATTGTGTTGGAAAATTGCTAATTTTCAACCGCAGGGATCTTGGGATCTCCAAAATTACAACCAAGCGGTACATAGATGCATATTTCGAATTTTTATCTTCAACGCCCGGTAAAGGATTTATTCACCGCGCCACATTTCTGAGAAATTGGAATAATGGTGCTGTGAACCTAGCTTTGGTCAAAGCTATGTGTGCTTCATCTATAGCATTCGTCTCGAAAGATGACGAAAGTCGTGCTACAGCCCAGAAATGGATGAACGAAGCAGAACTACATGTTTGGCAAAACCTAAGCATACCCTCTGCTGTATTGGTGGAAGTTATTCTCGTCATTGTCTTTTATCGATTCGAACATCGGGAATACTTCAAATCACAAGCACTCACAGCTGTGGCCGCCAAAATGGCATTTGTATTAGGTCTCAACTATGAGAATAATAGTCTGTCGACTTTGGTGAGAGAATGTAGGAGAAGATTGATGTGGTCGATTTTTCATGTTGATAGGCTTTCTGCTGGAGGGTTTCCGGAGTTGTTGGTTTGTCCTTCCCATTCGATACATATTCAGTTACCTTGTAGTGAGAAGGATTTCGATCTTGGTATACCAGGAGAGACAGCACCTTTGATTTCGACAAGAAATAATGAGGCGGATTCTATGCATTTGGGATTGAGATCGTTTTACTTTCGTATATCTGATATACGGCATCGAGTCTTGGAGTATGTTTCCTTTCCCTTTGCCTTTCTTACTTGCGCTTGGAGCTGATGATTTTCTCATAGATATACGAGAATTGTCATACGGGAAAAGTCCAAACCCTACAATTCAAAAGATATGTTACGAAAGTTGGAAGCAGAATTAGAACAACTACGTTCTTCACTACCTGCAAACCTTCAATATAACGAAGACAACCTCTTTCTTCGAGCATACTCACCACAATTAACCAGATTCGTCATGTTTCATATTTTATGGCAACAATGTCATACCGACCTTTATCGATTCATGTTTCCAGGAACTAAGGATTCAATATCTGACGCAATACTGGAAAACACACCACAAGAATATGTGCTTTATTGTCAAAGAAAAGCATTCGAACATGCAGTCATGATATTAGATATTTGTCACACAGTACAAAGTATTGGACATACATTGATTAGTGATACGGGGATAGCGACATGTGTATATCAATGCAGTAACATAATTATACGAGCAGCAGATATTGCAGGATTTTCAAGTGAGGGCGAGAGAGATAGGATCATGGGCAGATTGGAAAGGGTGACGGATATTTTGGAAGGGTTGAGGGAGGTTAATCCACATGTTGATGATGTTGTAAGTTTTTGGAATTTCTTCAGTCTACTTCAGCATTATGGAGGCTTGTATTCATTTACTAACATGGTGAAACTTGTAGTACCGGAACGTCAAAGAAATCCTTCACCTCTTCACCACAACCCAAACCCGGCGCCTCTTTCCAAGCCCCAACCTCGGCGTCTCAAGCCCCTCCATCTTCTCCACCGGCATAATGCCAGGTCCTCTCTCCCTAGACCACATCGCCTACACAACCGGCCATGACCCACTGCAGAACCATCGTCCCCTAAACTTAAACACGACGGGAGTTCTTTCACCTACATCCGAAAGCGCTGCCACACTTGGTTTATTGGAAATCAGTAATGGAAACGAACAATATCCGGATTGGAACTCTGGACATGCAGATGATGGAGGAGGTCAATGGATTAACGGAATTGATTTTGGTCAGGCGGGGATGAGGAGTGGGAGTGGGAGTGGGATGGGGATGGGGACGGGGACGGAAATGGTGGGGAATGTGGGAGCGATGTTTGATCCGTTTTGGGGGATTCATGATACTGGGGGGAGTGGGAGTGGGAGTGGACATTTGTAATTGAACGATGTATTATGTGTATCGTGACGAGAATTCAATGGGGTATATCTTATGTACGGGCCAAGATTGGGGGAAGTATTTGTATGTGTAGTTTGTATTCGTAGGGTCTCATCCGTTGATTACGTGGGTCTGAGATTACTTGCACACTCTTGGGAGAAAGACATACACTGGCAATCGAGGACAACCAGACCTTATCTAAAAATGAATTGTTATATAATCTGAGATTTTCTATTGTGAGACTTATTATATATGGAATGATATACTCGTACTAGTAGAGAGTTTAAATATATAATAATATTTTGGAATCTATATATAGTTGATTTGATATCTAATATATATAATGGTTATAATAGTTATATAACAATACTAATACTTGAGATTCAAGGTTTTGTTTGAAGTTATATTATATTATTTGATAGAGTTTAATATTATCTGAAGTGATTAGTGAATATAGATTATATTATAAATATAGAAAGTGAGAAATTTGATATTATCGAGAAAGATAATAGGTACACTATTAGAATCAACTTATCTAGATATACATTTCGCAATAAAAATTATCAAATCCTATAGTCAAAAGAATTAAAGTGAGGTTTGGTTGTCCTCGACTGTATAGCAAAAGATACATTGTCAATATTACTCGTACTATATAAAAGTAATTAGAGTATTTATATATACCAAACGCCAACCACGAATCCAATGGGTATTATAATAAATCCTTTAACAAACCCTCATTGCAAATCTTGCTCCAATAAGTCCCATAACAATCTTCAGAATCAATACCCGGAACGCATTACTAGCCACACAAGGGATCCCGCAGAATTGACCTTCACTCCCGCAGTCACAAGTCCACCACAGCCCATTCCTCAGCCTACGCATTCGCTCTTTTCCAGAACCAATATACAGTCTCCGCAGCAACATGTGTCTCAACTTTTGTGTGCTCACCAGATTTTGGAATAATGGTCAAGACATTCATTGTCTTGAGCTCTCTTATTCCATCCTCAAGAAATTTGCCGAATACCTCGTCAAATTCCTGCTGTCGCTTGTAGAGATTTTCGATCATAAAGTCCGAATCCACCTCCAGAACCAACTCTTGCAGGCCGGGGCAGAAATGATTGATGAAAGGAATGTAGAGTTTTAAACTCGCGATCAAATCCTTCTTGTAGCATCTATCACAGCCCAGGGCCTCACTACAAGTATGCGTCACGACGTGACCGTGGAATCGCAATTTCTTGATAAGCGAAGCGTTGCGTGGTCGGACATGGTAGAGGAAGCGAAGGAAGTCGTCGTAGTAGCACCATCCCTCCAAGGCCTTGATGGAATTTCGGCCTTGGATTTGCTGGATGGCCGCAGACACGTCGGGCACTGTTCCGAGCTCATCGTTCACTGTGGGTCTTTGTGAATTCGGCATATACACAGAATTCATAATGAGTGAAGGAGGAAATGAGTCGGAGGACCTTTGACGATGCTGGGTCCCACTGAAGGAGAGGATGTTATTACCAAATAACATTCCAGAGCCGAACTCGTGGAAATATTTGGAGGTTCGGAGGAGAGTTGCATCGATCCGGGGACGAATTACTCTACGGAGCTCGGTGTATGTTCCCTTGTTGTCGTGGAGACTTCGTCGCTTGATGATTGGGAACTCAGTGTCGAAGTAATCGGCGTTGTATGGAAAACCCGAATTGTGATCAACGGTGATGGTTTCTGGCAAAGAGACAAAGTGATGTGGTTCATTGTAATGCCTTCTCCAGTTAGAACTCACTAACTTTGGGTAAACGAAGCCGGCGGGGAGAACCAGGGTATACTTCAATATCCGAAGTAGTATTTCTGTAATATGATCTGTCAGCCGATGGGAAATATATTAGCATGGTAGGAACCAAATGATGCATACCCTTTGGGAACCTCAACAAATGGTGTTCGTCGGTGGTGGGCAAGTTCCATTGGCCTTCACTGCAATGTGCCCATTGCTTTCGAACAACCTTCGTCTTTTTCGCGACGAAGTCGACATTTCGAAGATCAACTGAGGGTCCGAGTGGATTCAGAAACATTCGATCGGAGTGTATCTGGTATTGAAAATTTGAAATACAGCGGCTCTTATTTCGGAAATGTTTTGTATCTATGATATATTAGCACAGTGTAACTCTCTTCAACTCTCGAGACAATAAATACAAAGTGGATGACATACCCTTGCCGATAATATAGCGAGCCCCATTATACCAAAATGCAACACCCTCTATCCATTTATCGACAACGAACTTTTGAAGTGCGACTTCAGCATTGTCCTTGGGATAAGCCTTGGTGGCTGCTTCCAGACGATCGCGGATTTGTACTTCTTGATAGCTCAACTCCACGGGAGGGTTTTCTACCGATTCTTCTGATGCTGCGTTCATGGTGTAAGAAGAGTAGATTGATCAAGAGCAATGAGATTATTTGTCTCGATGTACAAAGATGGAAGAAGAAGAAGAAATCTATCGAAAAGATTTATGCTAGTTGTTCGTGCTGAGCTTTATAAATGAAGAGATAGCAAGTGAAAGATCGATGTTCATATCGAAGGAATGAGGAACGAGCAAGTAGACATATATATAACCTGATGCTCAATATCTATGACGTTTGAATCGCGCACTAGCTAGTAACTAAAACTGTGAAAACAAGGTTGCACCTTCAAGTGATGAAAACTAAAGCTTTAGGCTGTTCTCTGGAAGTGAAGCTATCGTTACCTTTCCATGCTTACCTACTTAGTCTCAAGCTATTTGTCTCACTAATAATCAGGGAAACCTTATTTCATTTCCGTTTTAAATCAATTCCTTTACCATTGTATTACAGAATTATGTGGAACACTATTGAAGCCTAGTCTAAGATTGTGTATTATGAATTTTCAAGTTATATATTCAAGGCGTTTCGAATTACACGATACATTTACCTTTTGAAGGGCAATTTGAAAGGCCTTTGAAAGGTTTCGATTTTATGAACCTTTTTCCCCCAATTATTTTGTACAACAGGAATGAATCCGAAGTCGGAATCCAGGTAGCGAGAATGGTGATTGAACGGATGAAGGGGGGGAGGACAAAAGGTGGCTATTTTTAAAATTGATTTTAGAAAGAGAACCTGGACATTAAGTAATTTTTAGTTCAATTCGAAAAAGTGCTAACGAAATGAAAAGTTTAAATGTCAAAATGGCACATCCAGGATTTTTGCTCGAGGCGATTAGGAGCTAGCTTAGTCAAAATTATCAAGTTCCTCATGACTAATACGTTTATGACAAGGATGGTGGCCTTAGGACCTTAGGGCTGGACACTCTACGTAAAGTAGGGCTAGGTTACGTGGCCAATCAGTCTTTCAATCAGCTGATCCTTAATTCATAAGCTAACTCGTTGATCATATACCGTGTACTTTTGAAGAATTCGGATAAGCTAAGCATGGATTAAGACTTAAGGTTGTTTTGACAGGCCTAACTTTCGTATTCCTATTGGCAGAATTCCTTCATCTGATCAGTAACTATACCATT